CATCATATTTTGCATGCATGGATGTGGAACCACATTTGACATTATGGACTCTCACATGTGTTTTAGAAAACAGGCCTCCCTAAAAACAAAGCCCATGTGTTATGTATGAGTGAGGTTAATGATTCACTGCAGAGCGTTAACATAAAGCTGCTTTGCCCTTCATCAATATATTTACAACGTGTTACAAACCATCTCTTGTTACTGTCAAAATTGTTCCTTCAATTAAAGAATGTTATCACAAAAATGTAAAGTATTAAACATATTGTGGAGTAAATGACATCATTAGATGTTATTACTTATGATAAATGTAGTGGAGTAGAAGTAGGAAACAGCAGAAAATAAAAGTAAGTAACTCTATAAAGTACTATGTAAAATACTTTAGTTAATGTTCTGTGATACCTTCAAACAACAACTTTTTGATTATTAACAACTTAAATGTGGTGTATGTAATTTATTTCAGAAACACTTTTTATAATATTCCATGGAATGCTCTTAACATCCGATAGCAATGAATACATTAAATGCTTTGACAATAAATACATTAAAAAAATGTCATCTGTGGAAGCCGTGGTGCTGTAAAAAGCACGACCAATCATTTTAGCCGGCTCGGCTAAAGTAACTGGATGGCCTACCTGCCTGTCAGCCGTGCCCTCATTGGTCATGTGCGCGTTCGTGTGTGTTGGAGGAGGGGCTCTGTGAGGAAGTCTGAAGGAAGAGGCAGATTTTTTTCGGCTGCGTATTTTCAAATTCTAGCGCACTTGAGCTGGTTTCTCCAAAATTACATACCTCACCTTTAACCAAACTTTGACGCTGTAAACAAACGTTGGAAGGTTCTTTTCCCCTGCCTTTTCTGTTTCTAATTGATGAAAGTCTAAAGTTTAAATATTTTAACACATAAGATAGGAGGTTTTAAGTGTCATTTTGTGCCACTTTGCAGCCTTTTTGTGTATCATTTTGGCCATCTTGTGTATCTTTGTAATGGTTGTGTGTCTCTTTGTAGTCTTTATTTGTCACCATATCATTTGTGTCATTTAGTGTATCTTTGCGGCCATTTTGTGTGTCTTTGCCTCATTTTGTGTGTCCTTTTGAATCTAATGTTGTGTCACTTGGTAGTCAGTTTGTGTATCTTTGTGGCCATTGTGTTTCTCTTTGTTTTCATTTTGTGTATCCTTGTATTTGTTGTATCTCTTTGTTGTCCGTTTGTGTCTCTTTGTATTTGTACTGTGTCTCCTTTTAGTCACTTTGTCTTTTTGTTGTAATTTGTTGCCCTTTGTGGTCCTTTTGTGTCTCTCTGTTGTCATTTTGTTTACTTTGTGGTACTTGTATGTCTCTTTGAGGTCATTCAGTCTCATTATTGTGGCCGTTTTGTCACCATTTTGTCTCACTTTGTAGACATTTTGTGTTTCCTTGTACTGTGTTTATGCATCTTTGTGGCTATTTTGAGTCTCATCCTGGTTACTACATGTCTATGAGTGACATTTGGTAACTGAAGGCCAGAAGGGCCACTGTTACTTTGAAGCCTTTGGCCCCTCAGGACTATTCAGTAATCCATCCTTTTAGCACCAAACAGCCTTCAGGTAATAGCACCCCCCAACAATACATAATAGATAGACTTCCTCTGTCACATGCTGCATTATTGAGAGAGGCTGCGGGCCAATAAGAGCTGCACTCACATGATGAAGATTAGTGTTGTTTCATCAGGAGAAATGCTCCGGTCTGCAAAACATCCGGAGGAGGCAGAGTGCTGTATAACAACATGAAAGTGAAAATATGAAATAAAAATGGTTCCTGGTCCAATTTTGATCAAATAAAGTAGTTGGATATCTTTTTCAGATTCTAAGCACAACAGAAAGTAAAAGCCATTCATGAAAAGTGGGTAAAACCAGAAAAACCCAGAGCTGATGATTGGATAAGAATAATATATGACTGATTTAGGATGGAAAATATTTGTTTCTATTGGTAGGAACAAATATTTATAAGATTGTATTATTTATTTTATTGTACACATGTGCAGCATTTAATTATTCAATGTTGAAATGTCTTAAGTTTTGTATGTCATTTATTGGTCTTTTTAATTTATTTGCTTCTATATTGGCTATTTTACATGATATAACTTACTAATAATTATTAGAAAAATAGCAATTATCGCTACTAATAGGGTGTATATTTAAAAATATGTATAAATCAAAAAAGATGTACTATGTTTATGTATGCTCAGTTTTATATATCTGCCAAACACATTACGTCAGCGTAAAATGAATGAATATTTTCACGGTGACGAACCGGCAGGATAACAACAGCAGGGTGGTTAGGTTGTTATTGGGTGTAAATCTGCTCGACTCCTCTCACCGGCGATGTCTCCGAGTGGTTAAACAAGCGCACTAAAAACTTTAAACGCTTCAGCCAATCAGCGCTTCTCTAGTATCTGAGCTGACCAATCAGCAGCGCGCTCTCCTTTGTTGTTGGTGATGACATGAAAATATTGTTGTTGCTTGTTTGGGGGCTGCGGCGGACAGACAGACAGGGAGCACCGGGGTTTGAAAGCTTCACAGGCGTCGACCAAGCTCAGATTTGATTCATTTTGTCTTACTTTTGATTTTTAGGCAACTGCGTGTTGCGAAGAAAGCGGTCATGTCGGTGAATATGGACGAACTCAGACATCAAGTTATGATCAACCAGTTTGTTTTGACGGCTGGATGCGCCGCGGATCAGGCGAAGCAGCTCCTCCAGGCGGCCCACTGGCAGTTCGAGGTGAGGCTAAAAAGCGTTTTTAGTCTACTTTAAAATAATGTCCAACTACGTTTTGTAACATCTAGCTGTTAACGAGCTGTCAATACTCGAATATCAACTCCCAGTATTGTCTATTTGGACGATTGTGTGGCTTTAGGACCCGCTGTGGCTAACAGCGGCTTAGCTAACAGGACTGAGGACGTGGTGCTCGACTCTAGTGGCCGTTTTTTTGTTTACATTTTCGGTAGGAATCCACCGTGTCATTGTGGTGCTAATTGTTGTTAGCTTAGCTGCTAGCAGCCTCCATAAACATTAACGTCGCTCCTGCTAGGTTATTGTTTTAGGAGCTACTAGGGTTATATATATTCCAAAGCCTAATATCCGCTAACATTATAAAATCATTAAGATTATGACACATGGTGCATTCAAGTGCTCTTCCTGATTTGGGAAGTCGTTTTTTCAGACTTTGGTGTGTTCTTAAGTAACTAGTAATATGTAAACAACATGGACGCTACAAAGATTGCGTCTTTTGTTATTACTCAGAGAATTAGAATTAGAAAAGTGAGACCTTTTCCCACTGGTCATTGAAATCTTGCAAAGTTTTAGATTTTCAGGGGCCTTGAACGTTTTTGAAAGTAGACAAGAATGTATATATTTTGTGCAAGAATAGAAATATAAGTTATTTTAATATTTGTCATTGGATAGTCGAATTGCCATGTTGTTTATTTTTATGTTGAAACACCATTGAGATTGTTGTTAGTGTTGTACATGGTTTCACTGGCACTTACAATCCTTATAGGTTGGACATTTTGAAAAAAATAAGATTACAACCGTTATTTATTTATGTTTTAACATGAGTCATTTAAAAATCCTAAATGTAAACATTATGTTCAAGAATAGAAATTCGAATGTATTGATATTTTATGTGAGCTTCTGTAAAGCCTGCTATCACTGATGTAGCTGTATGTAACCTTGACTCATGTCTCAAACTCTGTCCATGAATTGGAGGAATTTGGGCCTGAAAAGTCCTAATCAACAAATCAAGAAAAGTTCCTGAAAAACATTGGAGACCCCAGTTTGAATGAGTGTTAGTGGACTGATAATGTATTTAGTTGACAACAGTCCTAACAATGAAACCAAAACACTTCGCTCAAACCCAAAAGCCTGATGCATGCCATGCATGTAAAGTGGGGAAAGTAGGAGGAAACAAGGTGGTATTGTTTGTGTCCTCTCTCAGTGAGAACGTAGTAAACTCACTATTGTTTGTGTTGCTGTGACATCATTGGCCTGAAAACATTAAGCAGTCTGGATAGATAAGGCTGATTGTGTGACATTGAATGCGATATCTCCTTTTTGCATGTCCATAATAAACACACTATTTGAGTAATATATGGCAGGGTGTTGAAGACATTTGTAGGTACATTTGAAAAAAATAAAGAGTCGAGGGAAGTTAAATTCCAAGAAAGAAACTCAGATATCCTATGATATTAAATAGTACCTATACAAGAAATGACCGGATGAGGTTGATGTGTTTACTTGACACAAAAGGAGAACGTCAATAGAGACAGCAAACCTAATTGTACATCTTAACAAACATTCAACAAACATTTTAAGTGTGTTGGTTGCTGCTAGAAGGTATTTTTTACTTCCTGTGAGTCTTACTTGCAAATGTAACTAACTGGCATTCGAACAAAATGTCTCAAAGAGACATCAGAGGTGCAGTATCATTTTTTTTAATATGAATGTGGCATTGGCTAAAGACTTACATGCAGGTGGGGTGGAGAGTCTGCAGGAAGTGATCACAGCTGATGAGGGAAGTGTAAACAGCTGAGATGGGTGCGGCCGGTGAGGAGAAAGGGGAGAGTTTTTGTTTTTTAACTTTAACAACCCAGTCAAATGACAATGCATTAGACATTACAATACAGAGTACAGGGAGTATTGTGCAAGAAAATAAATGCTAATTCAACAACAAACACCAGCACATCTTAAAGAAGTAAGGAATCAACCAGCAACAATGTCTCTCAAAGCTGTCTTTAAGTAATAACATTTCAGAAGTTTAACATGAATTTGAACTGAAGTTTTCAGGAAGAGTACATCTGGCCTTGTGAATACATTATAAATACATTATAAAGTTAAACAAGTTAGTTTTCTTTATACAACACAAACATACAGTGCTCCTTTTTTAAGGACCTGTGATCACAAAATAATAAGTAGAATGAATACATAACCCCCTAATCTTTCCCACAGTTAAATATTGACTAAATACCTAGCTGTTGAGCTAATGTGTTCCAAGCTAAATACTTGATGACTTTAGATAAACCATCTGTTCTCCACTGTTATGTTTTGAATCACTACACATTAAATGAAATCTGCCTTAAAGTAACGTTCAAAGACACCCCGGTGAACTCAGTTGCGGGTTTAGTCACACGGCATGGTGTTTCCAGCAGCAGGAAGTGTGAAAACATTTCGAGGTCCTGAGAAATAAAGTGAGCTGAGACAAAAAAACACAAAAGCTGTGAGGGCTGTGACGCTTTGAGATGTGTGTCACGTTGTACGGCATACATTCCTGCTCCGCTGCGGCTGTTGTCAAAGAACCAGAGCGTGGGAGGAGGGGGATGGGGAGAGGGCGGGGGAGGCTGGGGGGGGGAACCACTGCATTCATTGAAGTGTTCGTGTGAAAGAGGCCTCCGCTGCAGGGAAATGGAAGCTACGCTGAGCCGTGAAACAAGCTCACACTGACGGATAAAACATGGTGCAGACTGTCAACATTCACAGGGTTTAATATCACATTTTAACTAAAGATAACAGCTACAAACAACACTGCTGCTAGGGGTGCATGCCGGTTCCCGGTATTACCAAAATACCGGATACTGGCAGCTACGGTATACCGTACCAAAATCAGATCCGGTTTTTGATACTTTTTTTTTATAAAAGTGAGGCGTAATATCCTTAAACTCGCGCCCAAACCGTCGGAATTACGATGTCAATTTCGCCGTGAAATTCCTCAAACGAGTCACTTTAGAAAATCTAAAGTCTGGCTGCATATGACTGCCAGTCTGAATGGTGGGGTCTGTAACCACTGCAAGAAGTGTATTTCTGGGAAAGGAGGCAACTAGGGATGGGTATCGTTTGAAATGTATCGATTCCGGTTCTGCTTATCGATTCCGGTTCTTATCGATTCCGGTTCTTATCGATTCCCCTTTTCGATTCCAAAATTGTAAAAGAAAGAGGTCAAACGCTTAGATAACAAAAATATCTTATATATAATATTCTTTTAAGCTTTAACTGACATTTTTACAAATACAAAATATACATGCAATACAAATGTAGCTGTGCTTTATTTTAACTGAGCTATGCCTGTGGCAAGCTATTAACAGGCTTTACACTGTGCCTTGTCTTTTTCTTTTTTAGTGTAGTGGAGCCTCACTTCAGAGCGTTTACCGCGACCCATCTTTGGTGTTATGAAGTGACTGAGCTCGTGAACTGTCTACGGGAGGGCAGGGGGAGCCTCGCTGCGGGGCAACTGTGGACCTGTCGCCTGTCAGCGCAACTTACATGATGCCGTTATTAAGGGCGGTGCCGGCCGTCAGCGTACCGAGCCGGCCGTTCTGTGATTCTCCAGAACACACAGATGGCCAGTCCGCCCTTACCCTGTATTCCACCTGGTCGCCGCGGTGCAGACGGACCCGGTGGAATACAGGGTCTATCGCGTTTTGGAACCGTTAAGCAGAACCGAAATAGTGTATTTTGTATGGGTACCCGGCATTTTCTTATCGGTTCTCATCTGGAACCGAGTTTCGGTTCCCAACCCTAGTGGCAACACATCCAACCTCCAACCAATGATGTCTCGTATGGCAACCAAGTACCTTTGTGTTCAGGGAAGCAGCGTGCTAAGCGAGAGAGTGTTCAGTTCAGCAGGTGATATCCTACGCTGTGAAAGGGCCCGTTTGGATCCAGAGAGCAGATATGCACAAAACTGAACTGTGATGGGATTTGTTTTCTTTCATCTGGCAAACGTTGATTTTAATGATGCTATTTGTTTTATGCGCAATGCCGAGATCTCATGATCCTTTATGTTCTCTGCTCAGTGGAATCTCAGGTTGAATATTGATTATACTGGTGCTATTTTCTTTTTGCATTGACAGGATGTACTATTCCCCGCCTGATGGTTGTTATAAATGATATTGCAGAATCTGTTTTCATTGTTTGTTCAGTACTAAAAGGTCCAAGTCCCACAATTGAATTTAATATTCATTTGACATGTTAACTATATCATAAAGCGCTTCATGGGAGTGATTGCGGGATGATTCAATGTTTCCCTTATGCAACATGAAAGTATCACAATATGTATCGGTATCGTTCAGTGGTATCGTACAAAAAGTCAACGATATGCAACCCTAACTGCTGCTGCTGCAGCACAACAGTTTGATGCTAAATTATCATTTGTTCATCAAATACTTATTACATTCTAACCGTAAACTCTTGAAGATTTGTTTTCCTTTTATGCTTCGTAGATTAACGAAGTTGTTAGAAAAAGTACTTTTTTAAAACATTTCTCAAAATGCCGTGATCCATTATGACACACTCCAAAACAACAGACAACAGACAACAGATATATATAAAAAAAAGTTCAACCGTTACAATTAGTTGTAACTGTGATTGGAATGATGTTTAGCTATGTTGATGAATTGCCTATTTTTTTATAATGATTTCTCTTCCTGTCTTCCTACGTGAAAATCCACTTGACAAAGAACTTGGTTTTGATTCTGATTATTAAAAAGTCACTCAAACTATTTCAACATTAATATTTACATGTACAAAAACAAACTGGCATTCAATGTGATTGCAAGGGGACAATACATGTAAGCATTGTTACATTCGATAATAAAGTGCATGATGCAGGGTCTGTAGATATTAGATTATCTACAGACCTAATGCAGATAGTAAACTGGTTGTTCGTGAATGTCCCACACTGATTAGCTTATCCCCAAAGAATCACGTGTCCTATGATCCACACGAGGAGTACTCAGCTTTTTGTTTCTGTTTCTCAGAGTGTGTGTTCCCTCTGAGGAACAAAACAAAACACTTCCTGGTTTGTGCATGAGACAGCTGTTTTATAGTTTCCCTGCCTCAGCACAAGACTACTTGTTGTTTTACGCTTCAGATTATTATTATCTTCTTTCAAAAATATGATTAGCTGCAGCTCACTTGTATTACTTCTGCTTTATTTGAACTCGCATAGAAACTAGTTAAACTACAATATATGAACACAAGTTCTGTTTCTTTGACTGTTTTCAGTCCGAAACGTTGGTGTGAAACATGCAGATTAAGAGGAAGTTGCGTGTAATTGAGCTTCCTGTGTTATCAGTGATTCAGTTAGCTCAAAGCTAATCTAAGAAACCCTCGTGTGCTCTGCAAACTGTTTCAGATCTCTGAGTGGAGATAATACATTCAATCCAAGCTCATGTGTTGACTGACTGATAAAGATGACGTCTTGTTGGGAGAATTACAAACATGTACATTATTGGAATAGGTATACACAGGGTTCCTACGGTCATTAAAAACCTGGAAAAGTCATGGAAATTCAAAATGCTAATTCCAGGCCCTGGAAAAGTTATGGAAAACAATATTTTTCCCAAAGTTTTGGAAAAGTCATGGAAATGTAAACAAAGTTGCATCAAATATAATTTATATTTTTATCTAATCGCCGAAATAGTAATACTATAATGATAATAAATACTGTATCGTATAGTAATGAAACGTAAAATGGCGTTTAACTGACGAGGTATTTTTCTGGTGAGAGATTTTTACAATCACGCCCTAGTCTAGTCTACAGTGGCTTCAGTCTGTAGAAGCTAGTAAGCCTACTATTTGATTTGTTTTAGATAGGCACAACATGTTTCATATGTAGACCTTATTTTCCAGCTTACCATGTTAAAATAAAAATGTTTCAGTGGTACCGCTGAGAAAGAGTACTTTTTTTGGTCATGGAAAATGAGGTAACGGTCATGGAAAAGTCATTGAAAATCATTGGTGAAAAAGTGTATGAACCCTGTATACAGATCCTTAACTTAAGTAAAACACTAATACGCCACTGTTCAAATACAGTAGACATTGGGAAAAGCCTCTATTCATAACAAACATTGAATACAATGATATATTGAAATGTAGTTGTTATTTAATTTGAATAAATCATAACAGTCTCTTCTCTCTTTCTCTGCAGACGGCCTTAAGCTCCTTCTTCCAGGAGGCCAACATCCCCACTCACCACCACCAGATGGTAAGTCCATTTATTCCCCTTAAAACATAATCCCTCGCAGTGGACAGATGAACCTGCTGACCTGCTGCTCGCACACTCACTGCTCTGAAAAACAGGCACAGAAAGAGCCGTTTTATTGATGATAGCAGCAGTTTAACACCATTTGAGTTCTTTACTACTCATGGAGAAAATCTATCAAAAGAACTGAGGTTAAACCAAACCAACATGAGAAGAGTTTGGAATACAGGACTATCAAGTGAAATAATATTGTGTTTTATAGAAAATATGTAAACTACAGCATGTTGTGTGTTAAACATAATAGTATGTTTGTGATTTAGTGCCCACTCAGTGCAATTCACTTATAAACCACTGCCCTTAATATAGACAGCTGTAAGTTTACACATGCATTTATCTTTACAATATTTATGGTTGCTAAATAGCACTTCATCGCATTTTTTGAAAGAAAAATCAGGAGAAAATGTACTTTGTTTTAGACACCATTTTCTGGTTTGTCTGTGTCAGCAACACATTCAAGAAGATCTGGCTGGACTGAGCGTAAAGGTTTCTACAACGGCGTCAACATTTTCAAATGACTTCAACTAACGTTCATGTACATGCTAGCTAGCTAATATTCATTATGCTAAATGTTAGTTAAATATCTAATACGAGTGAAATCAAATATGAATACATTTAACTGTGCCCCTTTAGTAGACAGGAAATTCAAAACATTACATTCCTCAAGGATACCAGTCCGGCTAACTAGCAGCTAACAGCTAACTAGCAGCTACTGCTAGCAGTTAGCTTTACTTTAGCAACAAATACAGCTGTGTGACCCTCAGGAAACTCCATGAAAAATAAAGTTGAGGCAGAGCAGCTGGAGCACATCAGAAACATAACAATTATTTTACATCAAATATTATCAAGTTTGACCAAAATCAACTTAGTGACATTAAAGCACAGGGTTGGACAAAGTGGGAATTCAAATGATTTAAAAGCTTCTTTTTTTTAACTGTAAAATTGTTACATAATGTGGCTTTATGCTTTCTAAACAGGCAGAGTCAAGTTAGTTTGTTTCTGTTGAATGCTCGGTAATCCCACGCCCTCCGAACTACCCACAGTGAACACGCTACTGTGTTTAAAGGGTGAAGGGCACTTTGGACTCTTTTGGAGCGTCTGTGTTTTACGTTTTCTGTCCGTTTGGCTGGATTTCACATTTATCTTATAAAACTTCAGTTTATGTTCATTTCGCTTCTAGGCAGGAAATTACATTTAGAGTGAAACACATAGGGCGTGTCAGACTCTCACAGGAACATTAAGTCTGTGTGCTGTAAAGAAGGGAGTGTTTAATCTTTAATTACACTGCGTCACACAATAATCACTCATTCACAAAACGCTGCATGAAGGAAATCATTATTCTGTGGCAAACACTGTGTACTCAACTGCATTCAAGTACACGTTTCTTTTTTACATCCTTATGTCCAGAAGTATAATCAACACATTTTACTTAAAGTATCAAAAGTAAAAGTACTCACTATGCAGAATAGCTGTTTATTTCAGTATTATTCTGTTTTATCCCAAAAAAAATACATCTTATATAATTGTAATGTTTGTCATTGTTGAGCCAATAGTTATTTAAAAAAAAGTATTTCAGTACTGATCATATTATATCAGCATATCATTCCACTCCATAATGAATTGAAGTCTAAAGTAGCATAAAACTAAAATATAAGTACGTCTAAATAGTACTTAAGTCCAATACTCCTCCTCTCCCCTTCCTCCTCCTCCTCTCGTGTGTGTGTACGTGCCGGTGGGTCGCTCTAGGCGGAGCGAGTTGGAGCTTGTAAGGAAGGAGGAGGAAGTGTGTGAGAGTCGATGGGTTTGTTATTATTTTGGGTGCAGTGCGGTGACATCATCTCGCCTGAGGCTCCCTGTCTGTGTGTGTTTGGAAGAATACAGCTGCAGAGGTCTGAGAGAAAGAGTGGAGCAACTGAACTCAGGGGGGAGCATCAGCTGCAACACACACGTGCACACACACACACGGCTCCTTGGGCCCCGTGATCATTGTTGCAGCATTAATGAACCTTTGATGAAAGATGATGAGCTGAACTGTGTCCCACTCTTCATCATGCTCTGTCGAAAAGGACAACTGTAAAGACAAAATCAGGTCCTATTGATTTATGAATAAGTGTTTCATAAAGATGCCTCAGAGGTAAGGCTGCACAATATGAGTAGAATATGCATCATATTGAATGAACTGAGAGGTTTTAAAGTGTACTTAGTTCTGCTTCCTTCACTACAAAAGGATTGTTGAATTAAAACATGAAAAGGACATTTTTTCTAACTCTTTTACTGAAACAGATCAAAGTAAAGTGTTTTACTGATCATCTATTTAAACTCCCTTCTTAAAAAATACATTTTAAGTATTTCACAATGTAAAACAATATATTATGGACAAAAATATGGGAATTTCCTACATTGTGTGTTTTCAAGGTGAATGCATCAATCTGCTGTTATGATCATTTTAGAAAGTATAAGGGTAGATGTAGCTATGTAGCACTTTTGGTAACGGACCCTGGTAGAGAGAGTAAAGTGGTTTGTGTTGGCATGTAGAACAATGTATTACAGCAGTAAACAGCTGAGTGTTGATTTTGTTAGAAGCATATTTACTGTGTGTGTCTGTGTGTGTCTGTGTGTGTCTGTGTGTGTCTGTGTGTGTGTTCTGAACATAACAGCTGAGAGAAGCCTCCTCTATTTCTGTCTGCTATCTGATCTGTGTGTGTGTGTGTGTGTGTGTGTGTGTGTGTGTGTGTGTGTGTGTGTGTGTGTGTGTGTGTGTATGACTCTTTAATTGATGTTCTCCCTGAAGACGTTTGGCATTTAGAAGTGTGTCACACACATATCACATGTTTGTCCACAGTTAGATGCTAAAGCAGTCTGCAGTGTCCAATAACAGATGCTTTCAGGATTTCTTTACTGATAATTCAATCAGAATCAATTCTGCTCTTTTAGAATTTGAAAATGATATTGACTTAAGCCTATTTTAATTTCATTTAGATACCTTTTTTTTTTTAAACTGATGCATTAAGCAGAGATTAAGTTATCAGAGCTGCAGGGGAAAAACAATCATTTTTAACATGACCCGGTTTTATTCAGTGTTTTAATCACCTAAAGAGACCCTAGTGTTACATTACATACATGTTGTGTTTCATATCAGTATGTAGTGTCTCTCTACTGGGACATGTCTCCAGGCTTTAATGTTCAAAAAGCTCTTTATATTTCTCATACTGCCTGTGCTGCAGCACCTCTTTCACCCTCTGTCTGAAACCAGAGCCCAGTCTGCTCTGATTGGTTAGCTGGCCGGCTCTGTTGTGATTGGTCAATCGCTTGGAGATGTCCCGCCCCTTAGCGTACAATGTGTTGGTGGGCTGGCCAATAGAAAGTGCAAGTGTTACATAGTGATGTCACTGTGTTACGAAAGTAAACAAAGGAGTCGTAGAGCCTCGTAATAGAGGCGTTTGAGGCAGGGGAATTATGGTTGGCAAAACATTCAAGAATTTCTTTTTTCAAGACCCGCCCCGCGACGTGCAATACCGACCCCGCCCCGCTACCCGCACATATTGCCAATTAGTTCCGCAACCCGACCCCGCATATATATGAGCAGTGAAAACGTGCAATTATTATCACACGCAGTTGCATATTTGTCTCAAAAAGTGTGGGATGTTGGTTATTTTCTCCATCTAGGACAGGGGTCTGCAACCTTTTTGACCAAAAGAGCCATTTTGCTCCTTTTTCCAAAATATTTTTTTGGAGCCGCAAAACATATTTCATAGCTTGATTGCTAATAAAGTTTTATTTATTATTATATTGTTATATCAGACAAAAACTACAGTTTTTTTGCATTTATTAGGCTATTTATTACATGATATAAAACTGTTAACCTCTAATAAGAAACAAAGAACTCCTATAAGGAGAATTAAAAATAATACACAGGCCTACTTTAAAATAAATTAAACACAGCACTTGGGGAGTCCTCTGCACATTTGAAGGAAAAAATATATAATTAAAATGGGCCCACTTTGAAATAAATAAAACATATAGCTGCACCCTAAAAAGAGTTAAAGGTAGGGTAGGTGAGAATGGAGAAACCAGCTCGAGTGCGCTAGAATTTGAAAGTACACAACCGTAAAAAATCTGCCTCTTCCTTCAGACTTCCTTACTGAGCCCCTCCTCCAACGCGCACATGACCAATGAGGGCACGAGATAAGTTTGTGCACAGATGGAAGGCTGACAGGCAGGTAGGCCATCCAGTTATTTTAGCCGGGCCGGCTCAGATGATTGGTCGTGCTTTTTACAGTACCACGGCTTCCACGGATGACATTTTTGTATGTATTTATTGTCAAAGCATTTAATATATTCATTGCTATCGGGACGTTAAGAGCATTCCATGGAATATAACAAGTGTTTTCTGAAATAAATTACATACCCCATTGAATTATGACTGAAGATCGTCAGCTGTCTTCCTCTCCCGTGTTGTTCCTCGATACGTAAAGGCTGCAGCACCTTTAACAACTTCTCTCTACATATCAGACATACCGGTAAACCAGCATCGTTTGCTGTGAAAGCAGATAACTCTGTCCACACAGAATTAAATCCTGTGTTCCTCCGTTACTTTTCTTTGATTTATCCATAGTTCTCTCATCGAGCCGGGGGTCAGGTTATTCGCCTCCAAGAAAAGGCGCTAGCGCGGGACCGTAGCAGGATGTGACGCATATTTTAGCTGACCTAATTAAAACCGTTTTGTTTTTTGTTTATGTGTCACAGTATCACCTCAAAATACAAGATACGAAGCATTTTCAACCATGCAACAAAATATAAATAGTCCTACAAATACATTTCATTTATTTCCTTCTTATTTTTGTCTGAGCTCAAGGGGAGCCAGCGCTTGAGGGCTTAAAGGGCCGCATGCGGCTCGAGAGCCGTGGGTTGCCGAGCCTTGATCTAGGATGACACAAAAAGCCTCCCAGACGTTGGATTTCGCTCTTGAGGAAGTGTTATTGAAAATGCTGTATTCTCCGTTAGAGAGCTTCACCTCAGCCATTTTGAATGTGGCGCGCTCAGCAGCAGATTGATGCGCTGCAGAGGTTATGATTATGCGCGGTCCCGCGGGGGAGAGGTCTGAGGATTTAAACATTAAACTAAATTATTATTATTTTAATATTTATTATGCAACACCCGCAACCCGACCCTTATCGTCTTTGTTTTACCCAGAACCGAACCCGGAAAAAAGCGTTTGAAAAAATACCACCCACGAATCACTTTTTTTGCGGGTCACCCGTCGGGTACCCGACCCGATGCAGGACTCTGTTGTTTTTACATCTTTGAGGTTGTTTTTAATTTCATATAGTTTATTATTGTACTTTACCTCTTAGATATCTGCACATCACAGTTTGACTTCACATGTCTATTTTGTTTATCATAACATGACTCGGGCTACTTCCACCCTAAATCTTTCAAAGTGTGTGGGAGAGAAACTCCCTCTGGAGGGAGCTTTGGGATTTTAGCCTTAGCAGAACATTTACATGCACACAAAGCTATAGAACACACTACAAGAGAGGGAGAACCTCAAAAAGCATAATGGGGCCTCGTTAAATCAAAGTTTAGACCTACCTTTTGCTTACTCCTTTCTCTTGTGTGCGTCCCGCAGATGTGTACTCCCAGGAACACGCCCGCCACGCCACCCAACTTCCCGGACGCCATCACCATGTTCTCCAAGCTGCGTGCGTCTGATTGCGGCCCCGGGTCCGGCAGCGGTTCCTCCATGGCGTGCTCCCCACCGACCCCCTCCTCCGGCTACGGTTCCTTCTGGGCGTCCTCGCCGCCCAGCCACCAGCCCGCCTGGCTGCCCCCATCGTCGCCAACAGGCCCCCACCTGCACCACCACTTCCACCACCACCACCTGCAACAGACTCCCATGTGGCCCCCTGGAGCCCAGCCCAGCGCCGCCCCACAGCCCCCGGTCGTGTCCGCGCTGCACGGCCAGAGATGAGACTGAACGGGGAGGATGGGGGCTGGTCAAGGAGCCAAATGTATGGGGAGGGTGGAATGAGAGGAAATGGAAAAAGACAAAAATACTGTTTTCCTGTCTCGTTTTTCTAAACCGAAGACTTCCTCTCGGTCTTCATCACACGCCGAGGAAACGAACGTTCTTTTTCATCCGGGATGCAAATCGAGCCCAGGACCCAGCAGAGCGCTCCGAGGATAGCAGCCATGTGATCTCATTTTTTTATCTTTTAAAAACTCTTCTTCTTCTTCAGATGGTTCGGAAATATCTGGCAATAACCAGCAGAAAACAGACGGGATTCTAGACGTTTCCTTTACAGCTATGAAACTGCTCACAGAGATGCATCTACAGATGTCCTTTACCTGAGTCACACCAGATTTAGCACAGGAATAAAACCTGCTAATCTTTGACTTTTTTTTTTTTTAAAGAAACAACGACCTGGAGGACAAAATCTTCTTTCTGCTGCATATTAAGAAAGATGTTTCCTTAACTTTCATCCTTTGTCGCGGTTTCCTGATCCAAACAAAGATGTTGCTTTATTTCTACGACGTGTAAACAAAATAGAAAATTGTAATGATCAGTTTGATAGAGCCTCTGTTCCAACTATGTAACTAGAATGCAATTTATATTTCAGTGTTTTTCTTTTATTGTGAAAATATCCAGGAGCTTACTTTCCGAATTTAAAATGGAAACAAACTAAAACAGAGTGGTAGTGACTAATTTAGAAAAATAATCGCCAACTATTTTGATAAATAGTTTAAGTGATTTTTCATGCAAAACTGTCAGAAAATACTGTTTTCAGCCTCTTAAATATGTAGATTTGCTGATTTACTGTTTTATATCATAATAAAATAAATATCTTTGGGTTTTTGGACAAAGCAAGACATATATTTGGACTTTGAGAAACTGGTATGTACATTTGTTCACATTATTTAACATTTTATAGACGGATAAATGAATGAATCCAGAAGATAAGATTTTTTCTGGGTCGCTATAAACAGAAACATAAAAGCAATATTAGGTAATTTGGGAAATCATAATTACTGTCATTATTTAACATATTAAGTGAACCACACTACGTACTGTTGAGGTCAGGTTATGCATTGGCTTCCAATCGGAATCTTTTTACATTTGAATACACAACTTAATGTGTCTTGTGTAGTAAAAACAGATAACGGACCTATTTCTGACTACCTGGATCCTTAATATCTATGTTTGGGATAAACAATCTTTTATGTTGCAGCAGACAGAATATTATTGAATCCAGATGGACAAGAGCGTGGAAGGTTTCAGTAAATCCCTTCAGAGACAGGAAGTGATGTCATGTTGAGTTTAATGGTTAAAACGACAGTAGGGAATAACCTTTTGTAAGTGCAAATATGATCGGTGAGTTAAGTAGAGCGGCAACGATTTAAATATTTTTAGATCTGCCACATTTATAAAGTATTTTTTCTCAGAATAATTTCAGACCTCCTGTCATGGGAGAGGGCTCAGATCCATTTCCTGTTTAGTGGTTATGAGGCACTTTTGTACCACAGCATAATATGGCCATTGTAGGTAAAAAACAAATAAAGGATGGGAAATGGGTAATGTTTTAAGAAATAATCTGGATTTCAGAGATTAAAACCTTATATTCACAAGATCAAAAAATGATCACAAATTAAGGAAACCTTGCCATGATTATTAAAGCATTAATTTGCGAGAAAAAACAAAAGTATAAAGCTCAGATTAAAGGCATTATTTTACATTCTTTACATTCTCAGAGAATGTTAGTTTTGGCATACATTTCTTTTTGAAAATTATTTAATCGTATATTCACAACTTTAATCTTTGATCATTTCTGACTTTTGTTTACTTGAGAATTAGGGATTTTGTTAGTCTATTTATAAATCTTTTTCTTGGAAAGGACGTTTTTTTAATAATACATTTTTTTTTCTAATCGCTTTTCTGTAATCATTTTTCATAATTTTCCCATTTTAATGAGAATATCGAGAGAAAAAAAAATGTATCAAGTGAATTTACCACTTTAATCTCATAAGTATTTTTACGGAGTATCACCCTCCTTCCCTGGTTATGTCTTTTTGTTTGTTTACCTACAATGGCTCTAATGGACAGTTTTGTAAATAAAACCTTCAACTGAACGTTTTCTGTCACGCTGATGATATAAATAATCTGATTTTGGAATATTTTTGTCCGGTGAGCTGCCTGCCTGTCTGCGGGGGCATTTAGAGGCCAACTCAGTGATTTTCCACACAACCTTTGTGATGCTCAAACACTCCTACCTCTGTGTGGATGTGAGGCCCCTGAGCTCTGCCTGTACCCTCCGGTGCAGACGGGATCAGAGAGTTGAAACACGTTCAAACTGCTGCCGCTGCGGAAGAAGAGCTTCACAGCAGGCTAAACCCGGGATTTGTTAGCTGGCTCCCTCACACAGGATCCCACGTATGTCACAGAAAATCACCGGGAGAATAGTGAAACGTTTAAAAAAACCTTCACTCCACAAGAAAGAGGAAGCAGGAATCAGGGAAGGACAGGATGCAGAGAAAGATGTCAAAACGGACTTTGTTGTTCACAGCTTCACACAGACAATCAACCTTCCTCTGTTTTCTGTAAGATTTCTGTTGGGTTCCTTTGTGGGGGGAGGGCTTCACTTTTAAAGCTGTTACATCCCTTCAAATTCAACAACCTGATAAGATTATATTTCAAATCTGATACAGAAATGAAAATCCACCCTGATGTGTTTTACTCCTCTGGGCTGTTTGTCCTGTCAGTCTTTCTCTCTTCTTCTATCCTCATAAAAGGGAGTTTTTTGTAGGTGATGGAGGATTTTTCCTGCAAATCAAAGGAGTTGAGAGGAATGCCGGATGTGTCAAATGTGACTGAGGAGTTTTTTGTGAGAGGACTAGTCGTCTAATTTAGTTTTTGATGGAACGAGTTGCAGGTTGCGGAGGTGTTTGTGCCGACGGGGAGGAATTTGTCGGAGCTTCCTGCAGGGTTCAGGCTTATTATGGATCATTTAAAAACGGTAATCAATGTAATCCTGATACAGTATGTCCCAACCACCCTGACGTTTTGATTGTTTACCTCATCTTAAACTTTTATTTTGCTCTTACCAGGTTTTCTTTCTCAGAAATTCACTGTTCTAATCCACGGCTCTTTTATAGAGATTTCTCTCGAGTACTTTCTGTTCATTTCCTCTGTTTAAATGTGTATTTATATGTTTAATAAAAACAAGGTATGATTTACTTTCTGTGTCTCAATTGCTTCATCACACTTTTGGTATTTACTGTAAGAGCTAAAAGGACAGAGAAAACAAAAGTTTCTTTCTGAGTGAGGCTGAGGACGGATGTGGTCGGAGCCGTTTCTCATCATTGACTTCAAGTCTTCACATGACACGACTGCTTTATTGAAGAGGAAGTCTGGAGCTGCGTTCAAAGACACAACTCAAAAATGGGGTTTATAAGCTGCTGCTCAAAAAGGATATCAAAACAGACCACACTTTTTTTTTACAGGTTGTTTGGTACATCATTGTTTTCAGGACCAAGAGGAACATAAGGAAAAGTAAAACAAAATATGATATATGCTCTTATTATGGGTTATTAGGGAGACATTGGTTTTTGTCACCCACTTGAGTAGTTTCTTCATTTCTTTGGCTTTTGAAATTCCCAATTTTTTTTCTGCTTACTGTTTTAAAGAGAATGCGATATTTAGTTTTTTTTTCCTGATGATTCTACAATGTGTGCTATTTATAAAATGTTGTCTGCAATCCCACTGAAATTCTTTTGCAACGTTTCAATATCTTTCTGAATATTTGCGATTAAGAACGGTAACAGATCTTCAGGAAATGATGAGAATTTACAAAAACATTTCTGTCCTGAAAATGTTGTCAGAAATAATTGTTAAACCTATTTTAATTCAAATGTAACAACAATGTGTTTATATGCATCTTATTAGCTTATATGTTTTTGTATAAAATGAAAATATTCAACTTAACCCTAAAATTGTACTAAAGTTGAGCACTTGAATAGCTTTCAATCTTAAACAAAAAACGTTAGAATGATCAATCACAGACATAAAACCACATTCTTCAATGACAGGAAATAATCCGATGGCACTTCAAAGGGAAGTGAACCCCCCCCCCCCTCTTCTTTTACAGTCAGCGTGTACTTCCTCAGACGGAGTTTCTGTGAACAGGAAGTACCCAGCAGAGATGCACCCGGGGTCGTGACCTCCGGACACGTAATGCTGACAGTGAGGGGAACAACACATGCAAGAGTTTTATTACTCTGGCTGCCTAAATATATAAATATACATGTATAAATACTGTACGTTGTTTGGTTTCTCCTGGCTCTTCAACAGGGCTGTCCAAACTACGGCCTGGGGGCCATTTTGAATCGGCCCTCAGCAAATTCTAAAAGTATAATGACTTAAGTATAATAAACTTCTGCTTGTCTTATATTGTACTTCTTAAATATATATGTTCAAATATATTACACTGTATTCATGTGTTAATAAGCACACTTTTCAAAGAAATTCAGTCAATTAAAGTTGAAAACATTTAATTGACTGTTGATTTAATTGTCAACTTAGATTTGTTGATCTTTTTTCTGATCAACAAATCTAAGTTGATCAGAAAAAAGCCCAATAACAAATATACATAAAAATACACCCTTCATATTTCCTCTTCTTAACAGCAATCTGAAGCTTCTGTTTTAAGGAATGAGCTGCCAACAGAATAAATGAAACCCTATGGAGAGACGGGATATAGGGTGTTTCTTTCTTACAGCATTTTCAAGTATCAAGAATCATTGAGCTACATTGGATTGATTTAGCGATCTGAACTTAAGAGGCATTATAGCTCTAGTGAGGGGCCCAGCCCTTCGTAGATGTTTCTGTATGTGGCCCTCAGTGAGAAAGGTTTGGACCCCTCTGCTCTACAAATGTGTCACAGTTACATTTTAGTGATTTATAATCTTTCTAAATGTGTTGCACATTGTTGGCACTTCCACTCCAACATTTCTTGCACTATTTCACCAAATGTTTGACATTCCTACTTCAACGGTTTTGCATCATTTTTGAGCATGTTCACACAAAACTTTGTGCGAAATGTAATGTTTTTGTGTCATTTATGTGTTCATAAATCAGATCCATGTTGAGCAATGAGGAGAATATTTGTCTTGGTATATGTACATGTGTCATCATTTATTTTACAAAATCTCTTAAAGGTGGGGTAGGTAATTCACTTCAGAAACACTTTTTGTTATATTCCATGGAATGCTCTTAACATCCCGATAGCAATGAATACATTAAATGCTTAAAAAAAAATTCATCTGTGGAAGCCGTGGTGCTGTAAAAAGAACGACCAATCATTTTCACCGGCCCGGCTAAAGTAACTGGATGGCCTACCTGCCTGTCAGCCTTCCATCTGTGCACAAACTTATCTCGTGCCCTCATTGGTCATGTGCGCGTTCGTGTGTGTTGGAGGAGGGGCTCTGTAAGGAAGTCTGAAGGAAGTGGCAGATTTTTTCCGGTTGTGTACTTTCAAATTCTAGCGCACTCGAGCTGGTTTCTCCATTCTTACCTACCGTACCTTTAACATGTTTGCTTTACATTTCAGCTAAGAGGAAACACATTGTATAAGATATAAGATATTGAGATATTTCAGGCATTTTTGGGAATTTCTACTCAGGGTTTTTAAGCACATCCTTGTTGTGGTCTTAAATGAACACATTTATTATTAGTTATATTATATTCATTATTAAGATAAGACTTTATTTATCCCGAAGGAAATTCTTGTTTAAATGTTATCATTATTAATGATAACATTTAGTGGCTGATCACTCAAAGTGAAAACAATGAAAAAATCCACAGGTTTGGACTCAGTGTTTGACAGATGATTTATGGGACATGTAGTGCAAAAACAGTTCCAACAAATAAAATAAGCAAAAAATATAAAAGGTTTAAAGCAGGTTACCTCCTCTGTGCAGAAGTTAACTACATATTAAAACAGTACAGTGCTGAGTGGTGCCCCCTACAGGTTGAGCGGTGCGCCAGCGGGCGGCTCCGTGTTGCTCTCTGCTGCAGCGACCGAGCTCTGAGACGTGCAGCCCAGAGCCGACACCGGCCAGTCCCTCTCCAACAGGCTGGACGCTGCACACAGGACGAGGGGGGGGGGTCACATGAGACCTACCAGGGTGTGTGTGGGTGATGTGTGAGCCCCTTTACACCACAATTAAAAATCATAATTGTTCAGCATTGCCTTTAACTAACTCTCACTCTTCCTTTGTTTTACTTCTACCTGTTACTGTTATTGTTAGTTTACCTGTTTTCAGGGTACCCACCCTTTCTTTAACATCCCATTTCAAGAGGCCTTATTAGATCCTAAAGCAGTCTGCAGTGCCAAATATCAGGTTTTCTTAAGAGATATTTAAATCAGATGTTTCCTATTTTAACATTTTTAAAAGATGATCACTTTGGACCTTTTTTATTTTATTAATTTTGATACCTTTTAAAAAAAAACTGATGCATTAATCAGAGATGAAGTCATCAGAGAAACAAACAAGCTGCAGGGATTGGTCTACCGCTTAGAGATGTCCCGCCCCTTAGCCTATTACGTACAATGTATTGGAGCACTAGATGTTACATAGTGATGTCACTTTGTTAGACTTTTCAGGCAAGGGGGAGTGTGTTGGAGAAAACAGCAAAGCAACACATGTATTGTGTCGGTTAAGCGATTGTGTTGAAGAGCTTACTAAAATAACTTATGGGAACTTGTAAATGCAACCACTATCATGACCCATGTACATTTGATCTATTTTACCTCCAATCAACAAACTTTTAAGGATTTTAAGGACCCGTGGGAATTATAGGACTACAAGTAAGATTTTTTCGGTGACTTAAACAAGTGAAAGGCCCTTTTCGGAACTACTGTAGAAACATGGCAGAGTTTCACTTGGTCATACACTAATGTAGACATAGCTATGAAGATGATGTTACATTTCTTCCTGTGTGTGTGTCTCACCTGAGTGGCTGCCCTGGTTGCTCTTGGCACTGTGGGGGTGATGACCCTCGGGGGAGGCAGTGGGTTTGTGGGGGCACTTGGCTTTGTCTTTAGTTTTGCACATGCCTGCAGCCATCAGAGGAACATTTGATGGAGGTTAACAACGAGCACCACAACCCCGGCAGCTGCACCTTACCTTGACATTTGCAGCTCCCAGCCAAAATACATTGAATGATTTTTGTTCCCATAAATCAGCATGAGATGTCAGCAGGTGTATAGTCACTTCCTCATGTTTCACATTACCCTTCCACGGTTTTGTCATATAGTTAAGTTGAAGGTTATTCGCAGTATTTAAATAGTCAAAGAAAACAAATCATTAAAAAATATATATTAAGTGCAGGAATAGACACAGGGCTTATTTGTTGCCTTAACCTAAATAATGTCAGTTTATAAAAAGAAAATTAAAATACAAGAAATAATAATATTAATAGCAACCTATTAGAACAAGATATAAAAAAGTAAAGAAAAAAAGATCAAATATATTTAAAAAAGAAAATAAATGTTTGTGTGATGTGTATGTCTGAGGGTATGTTTTACACAAAAATAAAAATAAAAATAATAGTACTTATACTACCACTTATTCGAAAACTATTATTAACTAGAAAATTCAGAGAAATGTTGACTGACTGAAAGTTGGGTGCGCGTCCCGATGCTTACCCCCGCTGAGTAAGTATTAATAGCATTAGTTGTATTGTTATTAAGGTACAACAAAGAATATCCATTCATTTTAGCTGACTATTTTTAACTGTTTATCTATTACATTTTTGGATTCTTGTACCACATTCCTGCATCATTTCTGAACATCTTTAGATTACCACTGGATTTGGTTAACGACCAACAGGTGTGTTCAAAGATCAAAGCGTTTCTATGGCAACACCCTGCAGGTGAACGATAGACAGCCTGTCACAGAATGTATTGACAATATTGAGCTGCATTATTGCTTCTAAGTAAAAAAGTGTAACTCCAATCAGCTAAGTATCCTACCCAGAGTATTTGGGATACCAGATGAACACCTGATGACTCTCTGTTTGCTATATGTGGAAGTCCGTTTGATTAAATGAGCATATCGGTGCGGCCGTGACAAATTTCCCTACATTATGATAACCAAATTATGTATGAAGAGTGAAAATTGTGGCCAGCCGAGCAATAGTTGGAAAAAAAACATCAGATTTTCCAGCTCCTCTCCCCTCTAGCCGTGATGTCCCTCTAACCCTCAGTTTCCACCGGGTCCGTCTGCGCCGCGGCGGTCGTAACAGCCCCTACACACGGCGGCGTGCGTTGCCGCTTCAACGCTTCTGCCCATTCACTTTGAATGGGGTGACGTGTCACGATTCGCCGAACTGCATTGTGGGAGCAAAGCGTAGCTTCTCTCGCGGTGCTCGCTGCAAAAGTAGAGCAATGTTCTACTTTTGCCGCCTCAACGGAGGCGTCAGCCAATCACATCCTGCGTATGCAAATCTGACAGCACAAGCGCTAGCCAATCAAACCGCGTGTATGTTGGGAGAGCCAGACCGCAGTTATTTCCCATATGTCAAAAAATGGAGGAGAAAATTATCGTGGCGGTAGGGAATCACCCGGTACTCTATGACCAGTCCCTCTTTACATACAGGGATACAAACCGGAGGAGCCAGGCATGGGGGGAGGTGGCAGAGACAGTGGGTGAAACTGGTAGGTTTTCGCCTGTTTGGGGAGTTTATATCCAGTGTACTTCGTTTGAATGGACAGCTAGCAAGCATAGACAGTATATTTAGCCAGCATGGATGTAGCATGAATGCTTTGCTTTGTATGTCCGGGGCGGGACATTCATGTGATTGGTTGTTGGTCGCGTTGCTCGGGTTGACTCCCCAAGCTCAAGACACGCCCACCGCCAAGCGGCTACGCCGCCGTGTGTAGGCTCCGTAAGGAACGCGGCCACTCTAGTCAATGGGTGCTATTCCACCACACGCGCCACGTTACGGCTCAGACGCGGCCCAGAAGCGGCGCGGCGCAGCGCTTCTCTAAAATTAGGATGAATCCTATTTTTTCCACGGCGCAGAAAGGTCCGTAAGGTCGGGCAGGCAGCCCCCCCTCGCAGGAAGTGGAAAGGTGAGCATCCGGGCCAGGCCCATCCCCCACATATACTAATTTAGCAGACCCCCCTCCTTCATCACAACACCTCCACTACGATACTCACAATGGACGACGAGGTTTTCATCATGGAAGTGGAAAAACACACTATTTTATATTAATTAATTTAAACGGACACAAAAATAAAACATTTAACTACGTAGCCTACTTACTTTCTTGTAGAAGTACAAATGTCCAGGATGCCCGAATCAATAACAAAACTGCGAGCCTGCACGCACGATGCTACGCTTCTGAAACGCTTCTGGGACGTGTCCGGTGGGTTATGGCGCTAGAGGAGGTCGGACCAAAACCGCGGCGCAGCCGTGACGCGGCGCAGCGCGACCCAGACGGACCCAGTGGAAACTGGGGGTTAGTCTTAACTCTCCCATACACACCCATTATAAAATGTGAAACAGTGTAAAATGTTCACAAAACGTAAGCTGCGACTACGTGAGAACCGTACTAGCTACAAAATATCCAATTAGTCTAATAAAGTCCATAGTCTCGAGAACTGTTTAAACTTGTAATTTTTGTTCTACGTTAAAGTATTCAGAATCTGTATGGGGTCAAAGTGGGGTGTTTTTGAGCTCTGTTCAAATGGATTTCGAATATTATTCTGTGTGTGGCTTCACCAGTCACACACAGAATTATAATAATAACCACAACAATAATACTAATAATTATTATAATGATAATACAAATAAAACCAAAAATAATAATATAGAAACAGCATGTGTTCATAATTCAATTGAATCAACTTACCGTCCTTGGTGGGGATTGTAGGTAGTTTTGTTTCTGTATTTCTGATGGAAGGTGCGTTCAGGCGACCCTTGTAAATATGCCCATCCAGTCCGACGATATCAACTTCCTCTGACTAACCAGAAAAAAAGCACATCTCTATAACAATGTTCAGAACTTCAAAATTCGATTCAAACATTGATGATTTTAAATCTATTTCTGACATTTTCAGAATAAAAAATGGCAGTTTTAACCAGAAAGTGACCATCTTTGGACTCACGGTGGGCTGAACATCCTCAATATCCTCCAAAACCAAACCTGAATTGTTTAAATCGCCCTAGCCATTTTGTAGCTATTGTCTGCATATGCTAATGAATGCAACTTATGCCAATTGTGCAAATTGCTCAACATATGCAAGTAAGCATCTGGCAGTTTCTATGTGCTGGGGACCCGTACTTTACATTTCTATCATAACACTTTGGGGTACTCAACATTTCCAGGTTCACACCGCTGGCAAGTACACTAGTAGTAAGCTAAAAGTCCAGAATAAATACACTGAACAAAAATATAAATGCAACACTTTTGTTTTTGCTCCCATTTTTCATGAGATGAACTCAAAGATCTAAAACATTTTCTATATACACAAAATAACCATTTCTCTCAAATATTGTTCACAAATCTGAAAAAATCTGTGATAGTGAGCACTTCTCCTTTGCCGAGATAATCCATCCCACCTCACAGGTGTGGCATATCAAGATGCTGCTTAGACAGCATGATTATTGCACAGGTGTGCCTTAGGCTGGCCACAATAAAAGGCCACTCTAAAATGTTCAGTTTTATCACACAGCACAATGCCACAGATGTCGCAAGTTTTGAGGGAGCGTGCAATTGGCATGCTGACAGCAGGAATGTCCACCAGAGCTGTTGCCCGTGAATTGAATGTTCATTTCTCTACCATAAGCCGTCTCCAAAGGCGTTTCAGAGAATTTGGCAGTACATCCAACCGGCCTCAGAACCGCAGACCATGTGTAACCACACCAGCCCAGGACCTCCACATCCAGCATGTTCACCTCCAAGATCGTCTGAGACCAGCCACTCGGACAGCTGCTGCTGCAACAATCGGTTTGCATAACCAAAGAATTTCTGCACAAACTGTCAGAAACCGTCTCAGGGAAGCTCATCTGCATGCTCGTCGTCCTCATCGGGGTCTCGACCTGACTCCGGTTCTTCGTCGTAGCCGACTTGAGTGGGCAAATGCTCACATTCGATGGCGTCTGGCACGTTGGAGAGGTGTTCTCTTCACGGATGAATCCCGGTTTTCACTGTTCAGGGCAGATGGCAGACAGCGTGTGTGGCGTCGTGTGGGTGAGCGGTTTTCTGATGTCAATGTTGTGAATCGAGTGGCCCATGGTGGTGGTGGGGTTATGGTATGGGCAGGCGTATGTTATGGATGACGAACACAGGTGCATTTTATTGATGGCATTGTGAATGCACAGAGATACCGTGACGAGATCCTGTGGCCCATTGTTGTGCCATTCATCCACGACCATCACCTCATGTTGCAGCATGATAATGCACGTCCTCATGTTGCAAGGATCTGTACACAATTCCTGGAGGCTGAAAACATCCCAGTTCTTGCATGGCCAGCATACTCACCGGACATGTCACCCATTGAGCATGTTTGGGATGCTCTGGATCGGCGTATACGACAGCGTGTTCCAGTTCCTGCCAATATCCAGCAACTTGGCACAGCCATTGAAGAGGAGTGGACCAACATTCCACAGGCCACAATCAACAACCTGATCAACTCTATGCGAAGGAGATGTGTTGCACTGCGTGAGGCAAATGGTGGTCACACCAGATACTGACTAGTTTTCGGACCCCCCCAGAACCCCCCAATAAAGCAAAACTGCACATTTCAGAGTGGCCTTTTATTGTGGCCAGCCTAAGGCACACCTGTGCAATAATCATGCTGTCTAATCAGCATCTTGATATGCCACACCTGTGAGGTGGGATGGATTATCTCAACAAAGGAGAAGTGCTCACTATCACAGATTTTTTCAGATTTGTGAACAATATTTGAGAGAAATGGTTATTTTGTGTTTATAGAAAATGTTTTAGATCTTTGAGTTCATATCTTGAAAAATGGGAGCAAAAACAAAAGTGTTGCGTTTATATTTTTGTTCAGTGTATGTGGATAACCTTTGCTGTGTCCCACCTGAATGACGCAGTCTACCTCTGCCTGGGGGGGGTACTTGTTGGTCTGCAGGTTGGTGCGCCGTTGGCTGGCCGAGGTGACGGTGTGACTCCCCCCACAGCTCCGCAACACGGCCAGGTGACTGTAGTCCGTCATCTCAGAGACACGCTCACTGCTCCGTCACACACAAACATGAGAAACCAGAGAAACTGTGAGTCTGCGTCGTCTTTGTTTCCGTAGCAGTGATGTACAGTACACATTCTAATATTAACTGTGGTAAAGTGTGTTAAAAAACTATTTTCCATCTTCTCCACCCTCCCAAAGCCTCTTCCCTCTCCTCACTTCTGTCAAGCGACTTTATTAACTACTTTGAAAAAAATGTTGATGATATTCGCTCTTCTTTTTCTGACTCACCTTTACTCACCGCTGGGTCACCAGACCCTCCTTCCACCAACACACTTACCTCCTTTTCCCCTCTCTCTCCAAGTGAGGTTCTTACCCTCATTACCTCTGCCCGCCCTACCACCTGTCCTCTGGACCCTATCCCTTCAAACCTCCTTCAGACTATCGCTCCTGATATTCTACCGTTTCTCACCCATTTCATCAACACTTCTCTAACTTCTGGTCACTTTCCAAACACTCTCAAGGAGGCAAGAGTAAACCCTCTCCTAAAGAAACCCACTCTCAACCCGTCTGATGTTATAAACTACAGGCCTGTCTCTCTCCTCCCGTTCCTGTCTAAAACACTTGAACGCGCTGTCTTTAAACAACTCTCCTGCTATCTCCATCAGAACAACCTTCTGGATCCGCACCAGTCTGGTTTCAAGGCAGGTCACTCCACAGAAACTGCTCTCCTTGCTGTCTCTGAGGAACTGCACACTGCTAAAGCAGCCTCCCTCTCCTCTGTTATCATCCTTTTGGACCTGTCTGCTGCATTCGACACAGTGAACCATCAGATCCTCCTTCGCACTCTCCAAAAACTTGGAATTTCAGGCACTGCACTTTCCCTCCTCACCTCATACCTCAAAGACCGTACCTACAGGGTAACTTGGAGAGGGTCCGAGTCCGACCCTTGTCAATTAACTACAGGGGTCCCTCAGGGCTCTGTTCTTGGTCCCCTCCTCTTCTCCTTGTACACAAACTCGCTCGGATCAGTCATTAGCCAGCATGGTTTTTCATACCACTGCTACGCTGACGACACCCAATTAATTCTGTCCTTTCCCCGCTCAGAGACCCAGGTCGTCGCACGCATCTCTGCTTGTCTAGCTGACATCTCTCAGTGGATGTCTGCTCATCACCTCAAGCTCAACCTTGACAAGACTGAACTGCTTTTCCTTCCGGGAAAAGATTGTCCCACTCTTGACCTAACAATCAACATCGGCACCTCTGTTGTTTCCCCGACTCAGACTGCAAGGAATCTGGGTGTGACCCTAGATAACAACATGTCCTTCACTGCAAACATCGCTGCTACAACCCGCTGCTGCAGATACACGCTTTACAACATCAGGAAGATACGTCCCCAGCTGACTCAGAAAGCGACTCAGGTTCTGGTCCAGGCTCTCGTCATCTCACGCCTAGACTACTGCAACTCCCTCCTGGCTGGTCTACCTGCATGTGCCATCCGACCTCTGCAGCTCATCCAGAATGCAGCGGCTCGTCTGGTCTTCTACCTTCCAAAATGTTCCCACACCACTCTGCTCCTCCGCTTCCTCCACTGGCTTCCAGTAACTGCTAGAATCCACTTCAAAACAATGGTACTTGCTTACCATGCTGCGAATGGATCTGGCCCTTCCTACATCCAGGACATGGTTAAACTGTACACCCCACTGCAGGGGTTGGCAACATTTTTTATATGAAGTGCCATTAAAAAAAAAAAAATTGTTATCAGCGTGCCGACGATCGTGAATTATCAACGGGGGTGTGTGGAGGGGGGGGGGTGTGAGGAGCTTTACGCTCGTGAACTATCAACAGGAGGGCGGGGGGAGCCTCGCTGCGGAGAAGCAGTGAGTGGACCTGTCAGCGCAACTTACATGATGCCGAATTTAACAAATACATTTAAATAATTGGTTTAAACGGCATAATAATAAGGACGATCGTCCGTTCTGTGATTCTCCAGAACACACATGTTATGATATTAGGGTCATGTTGAGTGAGATGAGATCGCTGTCTCTTTAAGAGAGAGAGAGAGAGAGAGAGAGGGGTGTGGCTTGTGCATGTGTTGATGGTAGAGCGAGAGTGAGCTAGCATGTGTATGTTTCTGGAAGTGAAATGAGGAAGCAGAAAAACTGAGGTCTGTGATGTATTTTGTGAAACAGAAGAACAAATAAATAAATGCAACGGCCTCCCAAGAAGAGCTCGCCTCTCTCCAGTCATTTAAGCTAAAGTGGGTTATTGAACCTGAAGCTTGTTGCTTCTGCCCTGGGAGACGAAGAGAGTCACCCCCGTTTCCTCGACTACGGTCTGGGAGCCGACAGGAAAGTTCAATACACAGATGGCCAGTCCGCTCCTTTGTAGCATATTATTTCAATGAGAGATGAGCAGATCGCCACTGGGCTTTCAACTAAAGACACAGCCACGCAAAAACTGCGGCATTTGCACAGCTCCTTATGGTTACTGCAATTTGTGAAGTGCTTTCCTCTCTGGTGAAACGATCAGCACTGCACCACGGAGGAAAGCGGCAGAAAGTCGTCTGGAGATAAAGAGAGCGGGGCTGCGTTGCGTGTATGGCTTCCTTCTGCAGGTAACGGGGAGACACGCTCTGGCGGCGGTCTCGTTCAGGATCCCAAAATACAATTTATATATCTTGCACACTTATTCCTAGTGTGCCACTGGTTACGGTGCCGCGTGCCAATGGTGGCACGCGTGCCAGGGGTTGCCGACCCCTGCCCCACCGCGTGCACTTCGCTCTGCATCAGCCAAACGGCTTGCTGCACCCTCGCTGCGAGGGGGACCCAAGTTCCCATCAGCAAAAACACATGGGTTTGCTATCCTGGCTCCTAAATGGTGGAATGAGCTCCCCATTGAAATCAGGACAGCAGAAAGCTTACACATCTTCCAGCGCAGACTGAAAACTCATCTCTTTCGACTCCACTTCGAGCGATAGAATTACTAACAAATAACTGCTAACAGAGCACTTATATACTAATAAAGGACTGGCTTATCTATAGCCGGTTGAATAGCACTTGAAATGTTTGGCTCTATGAAACCTGATATTATATTATATATACTTATATGATTCTGTTTTCTTCAAGGTTGTATCTTCCTGGTCGAATGTACATACTGTAAGTCGCTTTGGATAAAAGCGTCAGCTAAATGCAATGTAATGTAATTGCAGCAGCAGGGGAAAATAAAAAATGTGGTTTACTATAAAACCATTTATAACCAGAAATACGATAAAAAATAAACATTTCCATATTAATTGCAGGAATGTAAAACAGCGGTAAAACATCTTCCTATTGATCTTATTTGAAATGAAGTGTACATTTGTCTTAAGCCTAATTTCCCAAAGGAAAGTTACAAGTTCAGGTGTGCATGTGTTGCTGTTGATTTGTATATGTTTTGTTGACGCTTTGAGCACCGCACAATTGGAATCTAGTTCCATTAAAAAGGGAGAGAAGGCCTTTCTACCAAAACAATGTATAGATTGATAGGAAAAGATTTTTGTTTTACTTTGGGGTGAACTGTCAATTTAATTTACAGTAAATTAAACTAATTAAATGTCCCTGTCTTATGTCCTCAAGACACCTCTCCTTCTCCTAACCCTTTTTATATCGCTTGTCTTCTCCTCACCTTTTCTTTCATTTCTTCTCTTGTCCTCACCTCCCCTTCTCTGTCCTGCTTCCCACCCTCTCTTTCTCACCTCCTCTCTTCTTCCTCATTAACTCTCTCCTCTCTCTCTGTCTGTCCTCCTCTCCCCTGTCCCTGACTCACTGCAGTATTCCCGGCTGGTTCTGGTTCAGGTTGTCCCCCGCAGTGTTGCAGTTCTTCATTGTCCTCTGATCACTCTCGATCTGCCTGCACATCACATCGTGGCTCTTCTGCAGCTGCTCCCTCTTCCAGCCAGCAGTAACTCCCTCAAAGCTGTAGCGGTTGCTCCCTGGTTTCATTCTGTGACGGCAAGACCAGCTTACAACCCGCACTTATTCTACATCGCTTTGGATAAAAGCTTCAGCTAAATGAAATGTAATGTATTGATAGATCAGATACTTTGATGCTAATGTTCTGAGAATTAAAAGAATGAATGTGTGCAGTATATTTTTTACATTCTGTTTATAGTATTATATTTTATATGTGTATGTTTTTCTTATTCCTGTACCTATCTTTTATCATGATGTCTTTTGCACTATTTATTTTAATGTCAAATAAATGGTATACTGCATTGTTGGAGGATCCTGGGATTTTCATTACTGCACTGTAGCTATTGTGCATATGGCAATTTTCATTTTATGCAACTGCATACTATACTCCAGTTCGTTTTGGAGGTACTTATCATACCTTTGACCTTTGGATTTATTTAACACATAGTTACTAGCTACTTTATACATATAAAAACACCTTATTGATGCTGATATGATGCAGTACAGTACTAATAATAATAATTAAAAGTAATGACAATGTTCTTAATATTTGGATGAACATAAAAGTGATTCGACATGTATTTGTTGGCGCTGAAACAGAATGATATTGTATAATACTGTAAAAAACCGACATTGTGCATAATGAGTAACTTCACTTTTGATACTTAAAGAGCAACTTGCAGGGTTTTTTTTTTAATAGATTTATGCTTAACCTTGCCTGAAAATTACAATTAAAAAAGTTAATGCAGGATTTGATATTTTTTACAAGACATAAGGGCAGGAATTCAGAGGGAAAGGAGCCGTTTTGAGCTCTGCTACTAAAAACTGCTCTTTTTTAACGTCAAACGCGTCATATTACGTCACATGGGGGAGCAACTTTCTCCGACTCCTTCTCTGCCCAATCCGCGGTAGTAGTTTGTAGTTGGTTTGAGCGGTTGTGATTTAGTAAGCTGGTATTTTTTCGGTAATTTTACATTGCATTTCACCATTTGTAATCATGGTGAGCTGGAGTTTGTGCAGGTTGCACAAACTCCAGCCTGTCAGGACATCGAGCCCACAGTTTCCCTAACAGGAAAAGGACCGGAGCTAGCGTTCGTTCCTGGGTGCGTTGTGCGAGGTGCATCCGCCTCGCTGCAGCACATACTCTCCACAGCTGAGGCCTATCAAACAAAACGTTTATCAGGAAACCGTATTACATCTCTCTCCCCCCTTCGCTCCTCTCTCTCTCTCCCCCATTCGCTCCTCTCTCTCTCCCCTCCGGTACACAGCACGTAGTGTGGAGTTGCATTAGGTAACGCGAGATACGGCTGATACTTGCGCATTAGTTTCTGTTATGGGTCAGTATCAACAGTCCTGCCAGTAACGTTACTATATTATCAATACTACTTTTGTTATAGCCTGATATATGATTGCTAACTTTACAATGTTGTGATGTGACTGACGTTAGCTAACATTAACTGTAGCTAACGCCGGTCACTCACCAAGACAGCTGCCCTGTTCTCCACTGGTTCTCCACACACCAAAGCTCCATTTCTCTCCGATGGCCGTTATTTCTTCTAATCCTTGGCTGCTCCTGGTCTCTTGGACGCATAGCAGGCTCATAATTATAATCATATGCATTCGAATATATATTTTCAACCTCTTCTGTGTCAAAACTAGCATTGTGATCCATGTTTATTCATACGTTAGACCGGCCGCTCTCCCCCATGTTACGTCACACGCGGGAGGTCACGTGCGGAGGCTTTTTTTATGCGGAAGTAAAAATGTCTTACAAAAACGACGCCAGATGTCACTGTAGTGTATATTTCTTTGAAAATCTAGTGTATACATCATTTTCCTGCACATTTATTCACTCGTGTGTCTAACCTGCAAGTTAATCTTTAAGTACAATCTGCTGATAATACTTCAGTATTTCTACGTAACATATTTTATTCAGGATTTTAACTTTATATAATGGGTTATTAAGAATATAAGATGTATTTCTATTTCTTTGTATCGAAGTCAAGGAGCTGAGTATTTCCTCCACCACTTTGTTTATGGTTCTATGTGATTGAGTGAGTTACTATCATACCCTGGTGCCCCCTGCTGGGAAACAAAGGACACCGCAGGGGAGCTCACCTCCTGTAGTGCTGTCTGAACTGCTCCAGAGCGTACACAGTGAACGGCCTGATGGACCTGTGAGAGGGGAATCCAGCAGTAGACGACAGCTTCACCACGTGTCTGTTGTTGTCACAAACATACAAGAGCAGACAAGTTTATATAACTAAGGATACATATCCAGCATCTGAATCTCATTATATAAATACTAATAGTGTGAAATCAATAGTGACTCACTGTCCGGAGTTGTGCATGACCACAGGCCGGTCACACGAGAGGCAGTGAAATCTGTCCACCAGTTGTCTGGAACGAAAACACAAAGACAGCTGACATTTCTTGTTGATTTACACATTTTGCAACACCTATGAGTATGTCTAATTGGATATGGCAGAAATGACTACTTAAAAGATGGCATTATATTAATAACACATATTCCCAACCAACTTTCAATTTTACAGAATGAAAGTGAGTTACAGCCTCACAATCATTGTGACCTTTCACAATAAAAGCCCTGGACATACACTGCATCAATGATTATGGAAGCAAATTCCCACAGAGGATAAAAAAAATAAAAAAAATAGCTAGTTTAACTTTTATAAAAGGCTGTGCGTCTACAAGATGCACTATGAAACAAGAACTATTTTCAGTTGTTTGGTACTAACAAAATGTGTATTGTATACTCTTTTACCTGCAGGGTATTGCGATACCTTTCTAGTGTTGTTCTTTTACACTAGCAGGTGCAAACACAATCTAAAAAAAGAGTGATGTCAGCGTAGGGGTGGGCGATATTGAAAAATATATTATCACGATATTTTTCAAGCAGTATCACGATAGACGATATATATCACGATATTTTTTCATGTCGGTTATTATGGTTATTTTTCAAGTTACTTAACAGTACAAGCACCTACAAGGTAACAGAAACTAAAACAAAAAGGAGTAACAGACCAAAATAGCATTTCAAGCTGGTTTTATTTCTGAAATGAATCCCTGAATGAACAATTCAACATTTTGATATGGCTTCAAAGCACAGTTTCTCAGTATCAAAATGAACTTTCTGAGGTAGCACTAGCAGTGAACATCAATAAACATGAAAAGGAGGGTAAAACATAACTAAGTAAAACATAAAACATCAATGAGGAAAAGTCAGTGCCAAACAATTAAAATGTAAACTTTAGACTTGAAGTGCAATAAAAGACTTTAGCATAACTGAAGGGAAAAGTTTATTTTTTTTATAGTTTTTTTTTCAATTTCTTTTTTTTTTCAATTTTTTTGAAAAAATGTTTATCCCGATAGATACGATATCTCTGAAAAAGCATATCGTGGAGACCTAATATCGTCACGACGATATATATCGTCATATCGCCCACCCCTATGTCAGCGCTTACTTTCTGATACCAGCAGCGTCCTCCTGCTCTGGAGCTCCCTGACCCTGCAGCTTCTCGTGGATCTCGTGGCTTCTCCAGCGATCCTCAAGCTGCTTCTTCACAGAGTTCAGCTCTATCCTGTTCAACTGCAGAAAGGTGAGGAGTGAAACACCACCTTGCATATAGTCACAGATCCCTCATGTGTATTACAGCATCAGATGTTTACCTTACACTCCATCTCGGAGGAGAGTCTTTCGATGACTTTGTGCCAGTCCTGCTCCTGGCCCGTCACCTTGTTCAGCAGCTCCTGGAACATGGCGTTCAGCTGCTCCGTCACTGAGTCAAACTGCAGGCGGCTCACTTTGCCGTCCGGAGCATATTTAGCTGCCTTTTTCTAATGTGGAGACAACCAGAGGAGGTTCAGGACAAACAGGGTCTTAAGACAACAGGATGTCCCCATCTGAATAACTCAAAGAAAATGTGTTTGTGATTCAATAAATATTTTACCACAACAGATTGAAGCTTATTGTGCAGATTACATTTTACACCTACATTTATTAATATAGCAGATGCAATAGCTTTTTCTACTGCAACAACAAAAGTACTTTATTCCCCACCATTTTTCATGCGTGGATGACTTCAAATAAAATAACATTACGCATACGCGTGTACCAATGAAAAGTACATGCAGAATTCTCAAACAAAGAGTTTCATAAAGCAAATGTTTTCTTGAATTCAATAATATGAATTACAAATTCAGTTAAAAAAATCTGCAAAAGCATAATAAGGGCGAACAATTATGGTAATTAGAGTACGAAGAAAAAAGAAAATACAAAGACAAACCTCGAAATACAGAGACGCTAAAAAAAAGTATATTTTCTTTAAATTATTTGACATTTACTTCATTCCATTGTATTCATTGTATATGTTTCTATTTAAAAATAATTACCATAGACTGTATATATAGGTTGATACATATGTTGATCCTCTCTCCTCTCAGCACATAGTGCACTTAGTAGAGACTAGGGATGGGAACGATTAATCGAATATTCGAAATTATTCAGGTATTCGAATATGAGTTATGAATTTTTTTTTTTTTTTTTTTTTGGGAGTGATGCCTAAGTTGATTACATATTATCAAATTTAATAATTTAATGTATACGACAGTGCCATAGCTAAATGTGTTAGTTGAGGTCTAAAGGTGTGTTTTGCTCCGCTCACCGGTCCCTCACAGCGGGCAGAGTTGCAGGTGCTGATCTCTCTCTCTCGCATCCGGTTATACTTCACCTGCGTTTATGTCCAAATCCATCAGATCTAGCCAGTTCTAGCCAATGATATGGCTGCTGCCCCTCCCTACACGCAGATCACGCAGACTCAAACCTCATCTTATGCCCAAATGCGCTCCGCAGCCGTTGCGAGGTTCCGGCGCTAACAGTTCATGAGCGTGCTCCCCCGCCCCCTGTCAACACTCGCGACACATGAGTGGCCAGCCTAAACAACAATAAGCGCTGCTTGGCAACCGTGTGTGGCGGCAAAGTACATAGACATTTTGACAGGAGAGATTTAGTTTAGTTCAACATATTTATATATATTTAGTTCAACATATTTTACCAGTCATAGTCCAGTAATTATTTACACTCTAAGAAGAGTCCTACACAACAGACATGCCGTCAAAAAGGAGTAATGTGTGGAAATATTTCGACCAGGTTAGTGAGTGCGGTGTAGAGGTCAAACTATGCCAAATTAAACTTATATACATGCTATACCTTGCTATACCCGCAACCTCCGTTCCAGCTGAGGGTCTTCTCTACAGCTGGCCTGATTGTGAATCGCCTCCGCACATGAAAGCCTATAGCTGTCAAACTGTGATCACCAGTTCAATACATTTGACAAATTCGACTTGGTTCCTACACTTATTTGAACATGTATTTATTTCCAAAAATTATTGAAAAGAAATTGGGTAAAAACAAAAAAAAAATTATAGGATATGTACATTTCGGTTAATTGGTTAACCGTTTTTTGGGGGGTCGAATATTCGAATATACATTTGCTTTCAAATTCCCATCCTTAGTACAGACCTGCCTGTATCCACAGTATTTATGTTTTAGTGGGAAAAATGAACCCACTTACGATTTCACTCTCCACCATCTGCTTGTCCGCCTTCTTCTCCTCCAGCTCCTCCGTCGTCTTGTACAGCTCCTATGGAAACAACAACAGTTATACTCAGCAATAATCAACATAAGGAAAGCAAAAAACCTACTCTTATTTAATCAATTAGACTTATTTTTGGATTCTTCTGTATATTACTAGCAAATATAACCTCTGCAGGAGAATGCAAATAATTAGATCGTTTTGTTTTTAAAGGTCAAAAGCCAAAATGATAGTCAACCATTTCTGTTAATATTTTTTCTTTTCATATTTAACAGATTCCTGTGTAATAGCATTTAACTTGATTTTATCGTCTGTAATAAGTCAATAGATAAATAATGCAATATGTAGAGTTGTTGCACATTTTCAGTATCGATACCATTATTTAAACAAAACCTAGTAATCGAAGTGTGTCTATTAATTATCTTGAAAGTAGGGCTGTCAAGTTAACGCATTAATAACGCGTTAACGCAAAAAAAATTAACGCCGCTAATTATTTTAACGCGATTAACGCATGTGTATTTTTTGTCATCGGCCGTCCCGTAGTTTCAGAGTATTTTCGAGTTTAAAATACCATCTACAAGCTGATGCTGTCAGCATCAGCTTGTAGACCAGGGATCACCAACTACATTTGTCATTTGAACATGCACACCTTACGTGTATTGTTGTTGTTAGCATCTGGTGCTAGCTAGCTGCGCTAACGGATATAAGGAGCTGTTTCAATGACAACAGAGGAGTGACATTTCGCCGACAACTGCGCCGAGCACTTGACTTTATGCAGGAAGCCAGACAGTGGGACATTGTACGAGAAGTCAGCACACTCAGCACGGATAGTGCGCAACATGATTGCAGCGTCCAGGGAGCTCCGGTTCAAGTATATGCCTTGAGTTGCACATAGCTCCAACGATCCATCACACACACACACACACACACACACACACACACACACACACACACACACACACACACACACACACACACACACACACACACACACACACACACACACACACACACACACACACACACACACACACACACACACACACACACACACACACACACACACACACACACACACACACACACACACACACACACACACACACACACACACACACACACACACAACACACACACACACAACACACACACACACACACACACACACACACACACACACACACACACACACACACACACACACACACACACACACACACACACACACACACTATTGTATTATTGTATGAGAGAGGTTCCAGGTTGAATTGAGGCAGTTATTTGTAATGTTCAGAGGTTGTTATGTTTAATATTCATGAGAGAATATTTGTCATTGATCAAATGATAATAAATAAACATTAGCATAAAGCATATTTGTTCACTCATATGTTGATAAGAGTATTAAAAACTTGAAAAATATCCCTCTAAGGAACATTTAGAACAGATAAAAAATGTGCGATTAATCGCGATTAACTATGAACAATCATGCGATTAATCGCGATTAAATATTTGAATCGACTGACAGCCCTAGTTGAAAGGCATTACTTCACAAAACAAAGGTTTTTTTTACCTCTATGTGGCTCTGTTTCTGGCTGTTGTCCTCGTGCAGAAATCTTGTGGTTTCAGTAAGTTTTTCACAGTCTGTCTGAAGCTGCAGGATCGCATTCTGCACGTCGTTCACCAGCTCCCCGTTCTGAAGCACACATACACACTGTTATAGACAGTCATATTCAAATATACTTCACAGCGGTCCCAGCTTCGACATCACATTCGCTGAAAGTAAATAGTGTTGCATGAGTACAAAAAACATGACTGAACCTACCACAAATGTATCTTTATAATTCCCAATTTACACACATAGCTTAATAAACAGAACCGTAAAGACTTATGTATTAACGGTAGCATTTTAGGGGAAATTATGTTGAAAATCACTATCTGATAAACCACATCTGAACCAAATATCATATTCAAAACAGTGATTTCAAAGAAACTCAATTCACTACCCAATGTTTCAACTATTGGATGAGTTTATATGCAAGTTTCAGTAATCATGGCTCAGTCCCTCCCAAAGCAGCTGGACTTGTTTTATTCAAACATTAACGATCCCACATGTGACTGATTACCAGAGGTTAAACACCTGGACCCCCCCCCCCACATCAGTCCCCAGTCCTCATCACAGATCCCATTACCTACCATTTTAGAGTGCAATGATTGTTCTACATTCCATAACCATGGTGTCTGTTACCTCCACCGGTAAGAAGTGATAAAAAGCCTTTAGGACACGTGCACACTGCAAGCCTTAGCGCTTAATTTGGATTCATTGCTTACTTCTAATTTTTTTCTTTTAGCTGTTGAAGTTCTTTTTTCACGAGAGGCCAATATCATACAGCAGTGTGAACAGGACTTGGAGCTGAACCTTTTATCTAAAGTGACCGGTGCCTTGCTCAAGGGCATCACGGCAGGGCCTAGGAGGTGAACCTCTCCAAGTGCCAGTCCACACTCCATATTTTAAGTCTGTTCGGGGACTTGAAGCAGCGACCCTACCACGGCCAGTCCAAGCCCCTACTGACATCGCAGCCGTCTTCCATGTTTGTCATCACACAGTGATTCAGCAGAGCAGAAATCTAACCAATATCCATCTAGAATCATTTTTTGAAGAACAGAGTTCACAGTATTCATCTATTCATGTAATACTCACCAGAATCAACCCAGATATAAACCTTAAAGCACCACACGCCGAGCACGCAATCCTATCAAATGACACCTGACCAATACTTCACATTAGTTTTCCTGAACATTCTGCCGGTCTGTCACTGGATGCATCGCACTTGAAGTTTCTGCACTCGCTTTATCTGTGTGTGGCAATACGCATTTCAGTTGCTATCCAATGTTCAGTTGCTGTGTTCTGCTGTTTTGCTTTTTGTATATCTGTTGAATACCAGCAGTGAAAACAAATACCCCCCTGGGACAGTAAATCTGAATCTCATCTATCTTGCCTCTCTGTCGTTGGGCGGCTGAGCTCTGCCTCCGCTCTGCTGCTGGAGCAGGCTGCTCACTGCGTCCTGCAGCTGCTCATAGTGCTGGAACAGCAGGCTGAGCTTCCTGCCAACGTTCACCGGTTTGCCTGTGAACGCTGAGCCGAGTCCCTGACTGTCATCGTCGCCCTCATCCTGTCCCACCTCGGACAGGTCAGAGGTCAGCGACTGCATCATGTCCTCCAACATGCCTCGCAGGTCGTCCAGCTGAGGTCAGAGGGCAGACAGCTGACGTTAGACTCAAACTTTTTGAATTGTTTTTAATTACAGGTAAACAGTAGCAGGCCTGTCTGTGCTGCAGCAGCATATCAGTATCTGACCTTCACTTAATGACCCTGTGTATCCCTGTTGTTGACTGCCCCCCCCTAAATGTCCCTCCTGTCTGACCTGATTCTGCAAGTGCTGGTCTTCTGTTCTCTCCAAAGTTAAAGCCTGTTGAGCTTTGAGCTGCTTCAGATCCTCTTCCAGTTTCTGCACAGACCTCCTGCACATGACGGCACGAACATGAACACAGAACATCGACTTCTCCGATCTGAACACTCACAAAGGACTAAGTATATCAACGCAACGTGGAAAAAGACCCCACATTTAAGTGATAAAAATACAAATAAATGTCTATAGATTTAGAAGTGCAACATTTATCTTCAGGTTTTAATTTCTAACAAATCAACTTCACTGATTATAATAATAGGTTATAATAGTTTGGAGTTTTCGATCCCTTTTTGTTTTATTTTATTTTTAACATTGCGATTTCATTTTAGTTTGCCTTCCGTAAGCATCTGCTTGTTTAAGCTTGGTAAAAATTGATCTGATAAAATATCAAAAACCGTTATGTTGTTATTTAATTCTAGAAGACTTTGAAATTGGAAAAAATAAGCACAATTCATAATGAAGGATCTTCTGGAAGGATCTGCTGGAAGTTTCTGCGGTTGCTGTCTCCCACCAGGTGATATTTAAATATTCTTTATCTAATGTCATGGGTTTATCCTCAAGAAATACATATTTTTATATTTTGTTCAAGTTTACAATACTTTTTTTTTCTTATTCTGATTTTAGTAATACAAGTTTACATAGGGAAACTTTTCTCCAATATTTCACTGAGGCAAAATGCAATCAAACTAGAAACATTTCATGTGAAAACATTCTAAACTCTACATTAATGTTTCTCAAGCTAGAAACTCTTGTAAAGAAGAACATACAAGTCCCACTTTGTTACCATCAACTGTGAACAACCAGTACATTATTGTCGCAAACTCTGTTGCATCTTTCTTGTCTGCTTGAGTTTTGAAGGATGTGGCTCAGCTGTTGAGTAGATATATTCTAGAGATGCATCCCTGTCCCTGTGTTTCCTCCTGTCGTTACCTGAGGTAGGATATTTGCTGTCTGAGCTCAAGAGAGGCTTTGCTGTCTGCCTCCTCGTTCCCTGGAGCTGCCTCTGAACTGGATTCTCTGTCTTGACTCGACATGTTCATAAACATGTCCTCCAAACTGTCCAGCTTGGGACAGACACATCGTTTGGATCAGAAAACATAGATTACTGAGGAGTGTGCGCTGATGTTCTTAAGTTTCTCACCCACCTTTTCCCGGTCTTTCATCAGGTTGTCTATTAGAGCTTTCTGTTGGTTCAGCTGATCCATCATGTTATTTGATGCATTCCGTGAACCTAAAAGTTCAATATGACATCATTAGTACAAGTCAGGGAAGTAAGTAATAGATCCAGGACAGGTAACTGACAGGTTTTTATTAATAATGATGAAAAAAAAAAAAAAATCTAAAGGCTGTCAATTAAAGTCGGTCTCTGGTCATCTTTTCTCTCCATGCCTAATAAATGCATAATCTATAGCAGGGGTCAGCAATCTTTTTGATATGAAGTGCCATCCACATTTCTTTTACCAGCGTGCCGACGATCGTGAATTATCAACGGGGGGGTGTGTGAAGAGCTTAACGCCCGTGAACTGTCAACAGGAGGGCGGGGGGAGCCTCGCTGCGGGGAAGCAGTGTGTGGACCTGTCAGCGCAACTTACATGATGCCGAATTTCACAATAAATTTAAATAATTGGTTTGAACGGGATAATAATTCTCCAGAACCCACAGATGGCCAGTCCACCCCCTTTGTAGCATATTATTTCGATGAGAGATGAGCAGATCACCACTGGGCTTTCAACTAAAGACACAGCCACGCAAAAACTGCGGCATTTTGTACAGCTCCTTAAGGGTACTGCAATTTGTGAAGTGCTTTCCTCTGTGGTGAACGATCAGCACTGCACCACGGAGGAAAGCGGCTCCGATCGCCAATTTCGGGGCCGATCGCCGGAATCAGTATCGGCTAGGGATGTAACGATACCAAAAACTCACGGTACGATAATATCGTGATAACAAGTCCACGGTACGGTATTTATCGTGATATTGAATAATAAAGAAAAAAAAATTCAATTTTTTTTTTCAATAACGATTTTTTTTACTCGGAAAATGTTTCTTTATTAAATAATAAATCTGATTTGTACAGCATTTTAGTAGGATAACAGTATTTTAAAGTGTCAAAAACAAAGTGACAGTAACTGACTGGAACAAGAAAACCAGTGTTTTTGTACCTATAGTATTACCAAACAAAGTAGGCATTTTCTTTGTGCCACTGCATCTCACAAATAAACAAGAACATTTAATAATCAGACCCTGCAATAAAATAAATCAAGTTTCACTTTAGTTTTTCAAGTAACTCAACTCAAACTCACTAGTCACTCACTCAGCATCATCAGACAGGTTTTTAGGAATATGAGAATGTCCACATTTCCAGGTATTTATAAGCTGGGCTGTTTGGGCATTTACAATATCCCCTGCTCTGGAAAAAACTCTCTCGCTTGGTACTGATGTTGCTGGGACAGCAGTGGTCGCGTTAACCGAATATTTTATTTATCAATGATGGAAAAATCTGAAAGCAGTCTGTCATTTTGACAGATTAGAACAAACTCGGAACAGCGCCAACGTTTCCCCGCAGCGAGGCTCTGGTGTTATGCCGTGTTATGCATGCCCTCCAAAAGGAAATTATATCGTTTCCAAACCGTACTTTGCCGTACAGATCAACACATGTCTGGGAGGTTTTGCTTTACGCTGTGTGCGCTCCCGCGAGGTGCATGTGTTACCGAACAAGATGTGGCCCGAACAACTGGTGATATTCTATAACGGTATAGGCAGATTTATCAGGGGCGTGGCCTTTGTCGAATAACCAGGAAATACACATTTCGATCGCTTCTTCTGTCGTTTACATAAATCTGTTGGTATATTTGGCTCCATAGGAACACTTTGATGCACTTTCAGTACCAGTGTGTGAGGTTGTGGTTGCGATGCCGATATGCGGACGCGTACAGCGAGGACTACAAAAAGACACACGAGGTGACTGGGGATGTGTGTTCAAAACATTGAACAAGCTTGAATAAATAATTTAAACCATTTATTCACTGTTTACCACAGCTCTCCACGCTGCGTGTAAACAACTCAGACAGACTGTATGTTTCACTAACAGATGGTATGAAAGTATAAACGGGTCTCAAATCAACTCGACATCATATTAATAACGATACATGATACAAATATAAGACTGACAACAAGAACAAGCCACAGAAGTCGTATCACAGTTTATCCTGGGCGGAGCTCTCCACAGCTGAAGACTTCTCCACGCTGCTTTCAAACTGTGAGTAAACAACGTGTGCTTCTCTTGGAGGCTGTCTGAAGGTATACACAGGTCTCAGATGGACTTGGTATCACATTAAGCATGATATTCAGTAATAAGTCTGGCAACAATAAATGGTTTAAATTATTTATTCAAGCTTGCAATGTTTTGAACACACATCCCCAGTCACCTCGTGTGTCTTTTTGTAGTCCTCGCTGTACGCGTCCGCATATCGGCATCGCAACCACAACCTCACACACTGGTCTGGTACTGAAAGTGCATCAAAGTGTTCCTATGGAGCCAAATATACCAACAGATTTATGTAAACGACAGAAGAAGCGATCGAAATGTGTATTTCCTGGTTATTCGACAAAGGCCACGCCCCTGATAAATCTGCCTATACCGTTATAGAATATCACCAGTTGTTCGGGCCACATCTTGTTCGGTAACACATGCACACACGGCATAACACCGCCCCCCCCCCCCCGTTGACAGTTCACGAGCGTGCTCTCTCGTGAACTGTTCAGACCCGACGGGTAATAAGGGATTATGACGGACATTTTACGATCCTGTCTGTCAAAATGACGGACAGCGAAAAAGTCTAACGCCACCTCAGTGGGACGGAGAGATATGCTTTGGCCATGGGTGACAGCAGTGGGTCAAACTGTGCATTGTCTCTCCAGCACTTCAAAAACAATACAGTTTTTGCCAAGAAGGTGAGGCTTATTGACAGAGATATAAATATACTGTTGGTACTTGTCTATGTCTCTAGGTGTGTAAATGTAGCCCTGTAAATACGATGTCCTTTTGTGTTCTGTTGTTTTATGTTCATGTTGTAACCTACTTGCTGCCATGTTGGACAGGTCTCTCTTGAAAAAGAGATCGATGATCTCAATGGGACCACCTGGTTAAATAAAGGTTTAAAACAAAAAAAAGTGTTTAAAAAAAATAATATTTTGAAAAAAACATTAATTAAAAAGAAAATCGCGGTAGATTTTGTCAGTCTCACGACGGTATTGGGACGTTTATTTACCGCGATACCGCGATATTCGGTATATCGTTACATCCCTAGTATCGGCCGATACCGATCGCCGATCCGATCGAGTGGGCGGGGCCTAAATGGAAGATTTAAACATCACTTTAAATCTTCCATTTAAAGTGATGTTTAAACTCAGTTAATGGGGCTCATTCACTGGAGCTTCCACAAACAACAATCAACTTAATTATTACATTGTACATGTACATTATTCAAGTTTACATTCACTTTGGATAATAACACGGGAGAAATGAGCGGAAGCCTCTCTGTTCCTCTCTCTCTCTCTCCCCCTCTCTCTCTCTCCCGACAGCCTGTCAGTATCTCATGCAGCTCACTGATCCAGTAATGAGTGACCCGACAGTGAAGAATAAATATATTTATAATAACTAGTTTAGCTTGTTCCAGAGGTAGATAAAATAGCTAAGTGTGTCAGGTCTAACTCTTGTGTGTTTTGCTCCGCTCACCGGTCCGGCGGGCGGAGCTGCAGGATTTCTGCTTCACACACACGTTGCATACCGCTATTTTACTGTCTTTTTCGGACACCTTAAAATAATGCCAGACCGGTGAAGCCATTTTGGCGAGCTTGTTTTGCCGCACACAGAGAAAAGTGTCATGTATTTTACGTCATGCGATCGGCTCTCGTGATCGGCATGTTTAGAGAGCACCGATCGATCGGTAGAGAGTGAGTATCGGCCGATCTCGATCGGTGACCGATCGATCGGAGCATCCCTAAAAGCGGCAGAAAGTCACCTGGAGATAAAGAGAGCGGGGCTGCGTTGCTCAGGCGGCGGTCTCGTTCAGGATCCGAAAATACAATTTAAATATTTTGCACACTTATTCCTAGTGTGCCACTGGTTACGGTGCCAGGGGTTGCCAACCCCTGATCTATAGGTTTGTTGAGAATATATCAAATGTGTTTATGAAAATGAATTTCTATTTAAAATTCCTTACTATCATAAAGCTAAATGATCTTTAATCCCATGCAAGAGCATCTCTACTGTAGTGTATTTTCTTTTGTATGTCATTTTGTTGGGTTTGGTACGTTTCTGGGTGTCCACCTCTCTAAAATACTGTGTTTAAAAACCACAACGCAAAAATCCTACACATTTTTCCATTAGATATATTTCATTTATTTTAGGGAAATAGGCTTTTTTGCAGAACCTTTTTTATGATATTATTGTTGTAACTCTTAGTTTTGCAAATTAGTTTTTATAAAGACCCTAACCCTTTAATGCAGTTACAGTGTTGAATGGGGGAGACAGAGGGGATGACACACGCCCTCAGGCCAGATGTGAACCCGGTTCCTTCGCTTTGGGACGTAGCCTCAGCACATGGGCTAACAGCTCTACCAACTGAGCTACTGTGTATGGCAGCCCATTTTTTGTTGTTGTTTATTTTTTGCCTATTTGTATGAAATGTGCAATATAAAAAACTAAAGTGAAGTCGAAGGTTAGTGGCTATATTCTGAAGCAGCATATTTCCCAAAATATTGGAGTTTTCCTTTAAAATAATGTGATGTAACCTGATGTGCAATAACACTGCCTCTAAATATATAAAACGTTGTGCTATATACACACATGTGCAATATACCCTTTTACAATTCACACTTTATTTTTACTCTCAATTTATTTACAATTGGCGAACAGTACCATTTACCTCTTTCATTTGACATGGTCTTTTTTTTATAAATATATTCTGCTACTCTTTTTACCATGGTTTACTTATTGTTTTTTTTATTGTTATTAACGTGTGCATATTTGGTTTATTTTGTAATATGCAATTCTATTCTCTTCACTTTATCTGCACTACACTTCTGCCGTTGTAATAATGTAAATGTTCCCGTTGTGGTACAAATAAAGGAATTCTGATTCTGTATAGATAGGAATTAGCTTTGTTAGCTTGTAGCACGAGGAAATCCTCTACCAGGACACATGGTATGTAGGTATGTGTGTGAGTATTCTTTTAAGGTTGCTCTTTAAATGTTTACACTCAGACACAACAATCTCTCATGTAGAATAATAAGTCAACACTCATCAGGTGCTATGCCACTACCTTTGTTAGTGATGAGCTCTTTCAGGAGCTTCAGCTGTGACGGTTCCAGCTTTCCTTGTTCCAGCGCAGCAACTCGAGCTTCCAGCTTGCTGAAACTCTCTCTCAGTTTGCCCATGTTCCTCAGGGCATCCACCGTCTCTGTGTAACGCTCCGAGCCGCTGGCCTTTCGAGGCAGGAGCGTAGCAGCAGCCGTCCCGTCTGTTTCAGGATCAGTCTGCTGTGGGGGCCCTGAGGGGACTGAAGGAGCCTCTGTGTCCAGAGAACCAGGAGCTGTGGGCCTGGGGGAGGAGGGTGTGCTGGTGTGAGAAGGCGTTGTGTTTGCAGCAGTGAAGCTGCCGTGGAAAGGTGTGTGTGTGGGTCTGATCCCTTTGGCTCGATCGATAAGTCCTGAATTTACAAGGTCCTGCAGAAAACGTAGAGACAAGGAGACAATACACAGGATTGTGCTGAATGATCACTTTTATCATAGAGTGTTTTAATCAGTCTGTTGGTGGTAAAGACAATGTAACACAAATCTGAACCTTTGAATGCTTCGACAAAGACACAATGTCTGATATGTTTAAACACCTCATTGACAGCAACATTCATTGATAATACACTGAAAAAACATTGACTTTAATTAAATGTATTATGTCAACACATTTCACATAAATGTATTTGGATAGTTGAAAGCAATAATATTGCGTTTTTGTTATTTAAACTTCATATTATTGTTTTCAACTAACCTAATACAGTTATGTGAAATCTGTTATTAATTCAAGTAAACGTTTCAGTTTTTTAAGTGTAGGGCTGTACAAATCTTTTCCCTTTACTGTACTGGTTCTACCCAGGCTTTTCGGAGGAAGCTTTGAATATCTGTATTTTTCAGGTAATCACTCTCACTTTCAAAGAACTCAGAAATGTGAATACAGTGGTTATTGGGTCAAATGAGTCATTCATTTCCCATGGAACCAACTTTCTTTAATAAATAGAACTTGTCATTGTGTCAGTGCTTGCTTCCTTTTGTTTGCAGCAAACTCTTTTTTGAGCGCAGTGAAAATGTGGTTTTTGAAAAGCTAAAAAACAACACATATTGTTTGTAGCAGAATAATTGGTTGGATAAAAACATTATTTTTGAGTGTTTTGAAATGATAAGATAAATATTTTTTCTATAAATGTTTACTTTTGGACGCTCTGGAGTTATTGGAAACAAGTCTGAAACAGTCCTACTAACGTATTCAACCTCTAAAAATATTATAATACTAATAATATTCAAGTACCCTAATCATTATCTGCTTTTAAATGTGGTACATGGATGTGGAGGCAGCTGCTCTGTGCATACATAGAGTCACCGTCTTCTACAATGAGGCCTTTTGAATGCTGATTTTTGACCCAGCATCACTACGATCCCCTTCAACGTTGTAGAAATATCTCAAAAAACAGACTCAATGGATGTCAGGAGTTTCCTGTCCCAGTCTGAGGCTGAAAACAGGCTTGATTCTCTTACTGACGCTTACTGAACTCTGTTTGGATCTCACCTTCTGCAGGATTTCTCTCTCGCTGAGCAGCGATGACTGCATGACGTCCCAGGTCACACACTGACTCAGCTCCTCGGGGGCCGGAAACTTCTGGAATGTGTCCTTCAGAGATTTCTGTCACAGCGACAACCAATTTTTGGAAAATCTGTCATTGGCAACTTTTGTAAATGTGTCGGAAAATAAATAATCTCAAGTCACTCACCACAGCTTCCTGCAGAGCGTCCACCTGGTGGCAGCACTTCTCCACTTCGGAGATCCTAACTGCCTCAGCACCAACCTTCAGGACAAAACATAGAGGGAATACATGACTTCCTTTACACTGGGGGGGGCAGGTCCACATAAAGACCTGCTACTTCCCTCTCATCAATATAACTGATAATAAATTACTAAAATCTCTGTCGTAGGTATGTCCAAAAAGAAAGAAAATATACGTACATGTCTGCCACACCCTGATCATATTATCACCTTTATGTATTATATAATGTTAGATACACTATATTGCTTGTTTTTGTGTGTGAAACCGGTAGAGCAATGGTTCTACCTTCTCAGGTTTGTGGAGGGTTACTTTGAAACATCTCACTAAAGATAGCTGGCATCTGTGCTTCAACATTTTTTTTTCTGGCAATTAATCAACTTATTTACTTAAATCTCAGAGCAGATTAGCATCTCACTTTTCAACCACATCCAGTTTTTCATTCTCAATGTATCAAAAATATGACTGACGTTAATTATTGTGAGAGGTAACGGTAGTATTCAGCTCCCTTATACAGAGCATCCGGAAAGTATTCAGACCCCTTCACTTTTTTCACATTTTGCTATGTTACAGCCTTATTTCTAAATGGATTAAATTATTTATTTTTCTCAATATCCCACACACAATACCCCATAATGACAAATAGAAAACGTTTTTAAAGATTTTTTTGCAAACGTGTTAAAAATAATAAAATGAAATATCACATGTACATAACATAAGTATTCACACCCTTTGCTTTGACACTGAAAATTGAGCTCAAGTGCATCCTGTATCTCAAGGCACAGATCTGGGGAAGGGTACAGAAAAATGTCTGCAGCATTGAAGGTCCCAACGAGCACAGTGGTCTCCATCATTTGCAAATGAAAGATGTTTGAAACCACCTGGTCTCTTCCTAGAGCTTGCTGCCCAAACCAAACTGAGCATCGGGGGAGAAGGGCCTTAGTCAGAGAGGTGACCAAGAACCCGATGGTCACTCTGACAGAGCTCCAGTGTTCCTCTGTGGAGATGGGAGAACCCAGAGATGTTCACAAGTCTTTTTTTGCAAGTCCAAGTCAAGTCTCAAGTCTTTGGTCACGAGTCCAAGTCAAGTCTCAAGTCTTTGTGGGGTGAGACTTGATCAAGTCTCAAGTCTTTGGTCACGAGTCAAAGTCAAGTCTCAAGTCTTTGTGGGGTGAGACTTGATCAAGTCTCAAGTCTTTGGTCACGAGTCAAAGTCAAGTCTCAAGTCTTTGTGGGGTGAGACTTGATCAAGTCTCAAGTCTTTGGTCACGAGTCAAAGTCAAGTCTCAAGTCTTTGTGGGGTGAGACTTGATCAAGTCTCAAGTCTTTGGTCACGAGTCCAAGTCAAGTCTCAAGTCTCTAAAAAATAAAAGTATCATGTCTCTTCTGGTTGTAATAAGCCTTCTATTGTCTGCTGCTATCCAGTCTGTTAAGAATACTGCACAGCTATATCTAAGAAATTCAAAGCATGTACTGTATTATTATCACTCCTATATCTATTAGCATACAGTATCAGTACTGATTAGTTGTTTGTTATATGATCACTTTAAACAGGCTATTGCAATGCAATATGAGGAAAAACATCACACTTTAGCTAAATGCAAACAACTAAGCAAAACACTTCAGAATCAGAAATCAGTATCACAAATACTTTATTAATCCCCCGCAGGGAAACTGTGTTAAAAGTACTTAAAAGTATACATTTGTTCTGTGCCATTTGCAACTAAAAAACTATTGCTGCAATATTATCTGAAATATACTGAACTGGTGATATTAAAACATGACCTGTTCCAAAAGAGATATCTACCATTAACACCATTTACCAGCCAAATGCTGGTAAATCATGCAAGTGGCTGGTACTGTATGTTGCACGCACCAGCCAAAAATAACAATGGCAATCTATTGAGTGGCTGGTAACATTTCAACATTCACTAGGCTAGCCATTTGGCCAGTGGACAAAAATGTTAAAATGTGACCTCTGCAACCGTATTGTTTAATTACACTGGGTCTCTAATTACATCTTTTAAGTCTACTATAAATAAACATATTCCTCTATCCTCTCACTCAAACCCAGTGTAATGGTAACCTGATAAACCTGTAACATTAACGTTACGTGGTCAACAATAAACCTGTAACCTGCCTATAAACCGACAGATGTATTTATGTATGTAACTATGTATTTTTCTACGTTTAACGTTAGCCAGTAGATGGTGGCAGCGGAACGTAATGATTAACGTTACCGACCTTTTTTATGTCATGTCAAGAGTTGAATGTCAACGCCAGTCAACGCAAACAAGTGTGACAAGCAAACATTCACTCATCTTTTCAAATATTCAGTTACAAAGCTAGTAGCAAGCTAAGTTAACATTACATAGCTGATGCTGAGCTAAACATGTTTGCTAACCGTCCATATGCGTTAATGTGACTGACCTCTCCGGGTGAGTTTTCAAGTGCCTGATGAAATTTGAAGTTGTTGCACCAGCATCCTTGATTTTAATATTGCAGACTTTGTAGTGTGCGCTCCTTTTGTTGGTGCCGCCGGCGTTTTGTTCGAAGTGTTTATAGTTGAACCTAATTACAAGCGGTACAGCTGCAGGTGTGCCGCCGGTCGCCATGGTGTTACCATGATGTTAATGTTAATGTTAAAGGTGGGGTAGGTAAGTTTGAGAAACCGGCTCGAGATACACTTTTTGTTATATTCCATGGAATGCTCTTAACATCCCGATAGCCGGCCCGGCTAAAGTAACTGGATGGCCTACCTGCCTGTCAGCCTCCCATCGGGGCACAAACTTATCTCGTGCCCTCATTGGTCATGTGTGCATTCGTGTGTGTTGGAGGAGGGGCTCTGTGAGGAAGTGGCAGATTTTCTCCGGTTGTGTATTTTAAAATTCTAGCAATCTCGAGTCGGTTTCTCAAATTTACCTACCCCACCTTTAATACGCCAAAAATAGAAAACACAATGATTGTTCACGAGTCCCAAAACACGAGTCCAAGTCGAGTCCGAAGTCTTTTGAGCAGGAGTCCAAGTCAAGTCTGAAGTCTCTGTGTGTGCGACTTAAGTGCGACTCGAGTCCGAGTCACAGACTCAAGTCCCCATCTCTGGGAGAACCTTCCAAAAGGACATCCATCTGTGCAGCACTCCACCAAGCAGGCCTTTATGGTAGAGTGGCCAGAAGGAAGCCAAAGGCACATGAAAGCCCACATGGAGCACCTAGAGGACTCTCAGACAATGAGAAACCTAATTGTCTGGTTTGATGAAACCAAATTTGGCCTGAATGCCAAGTATCATGTCTGGAGAGAACCAGGCACCGCTCATCACCTGGCCAACACCATCCCTACAGTGAAGCATGGTGGTGGCAGCATCATGCTCCTAGTACTAGACTCCTGGTACTAGGATGGGTTAAAAGCAGAGAACAAATGTCACTGTGTGTGCTCTGTGCTCTGCATGTGTGACCATTAAAGAGGGTTTCATCCTTCCAACTCTATTCTATGCTGTGGGGATGTTTTTCAGCAGCAGGAACTTGGAGACTAGTCAGGATCAAGGGAAATATGAATGTAGCATTTGTGACGGCCCCAGAGCCTGTGTGCAGGTGTGTTACAGGTCTTACGGTGGGGTGGAGCTGAAGAGGCCAATCAGCGCGATCGCGGACACCTGGCCGGAGCCGAGGTGCTATTAAGCCCAGCTGCCCGGAGACACGGGGCGGCCCTGACTCTCTCCAAGCCAGCCGCAGGAGGAGTGACACGGCGATCCTCTCCCCTCGTCCATCCATCTTGTACTTTATACGGAACAACCGCAATAAATGTGCCGTGGTTTTTGGAAACTCGTGTACGTCTTGTCATCTTTCCGTTGTGGCCTACGAGCCAGTCATAACACATTGTACAGGGAGATCCTTGATAACAACCTTCTCCAGAGCGCTCTGGACCTCAGACTGGGGCGAAGGTTCACCCTTCAACAGCACAACGACCCTAAGCACATAGCCACGATAACAAAGGAGTGGCTTCGGGACAAGTCTGTGAATGTCCTTAGGCGCATTCACACCGCAGTACTTTTCCCACAAAGGTTCATGAGAACTCTTTAGTTCTCATGAACTAAGTACAGATCGCGTTCACACCGGAATAAATTCCTGGGGAAGGATTAGGCAAATGAAGCCGCTGACGTCACTTCTTCTGCTTTGGGTTTACTGGCAGGCCGCAAACAACTTCACGGCGTATACTGCCACGCGAAGTCCCCGGCCGGAAGTCCCCGGAGTTGGGGACTGGCTTCAGTAGAAGCTGCTGGGACTCCCAGCAGCTTCTACTGAAAATCCGAGTAAATCGCCAGAACGCCGACCCCTCCTCATCTCCACCGCTCCCATGTTTTATTTTGTGTTGCCATAAGTTAGTCTCTCTGCATTTGTGCGCTGGGCTAATTCTAAAGCTAATAATGCTAATGCGAGGATAATAAAATGGCAGCTTCACAAAACTTTTTGAGAGTTTTACGGGGCGTGGTTTGCAATCCGCCCAGCCAATCAGACATAGGAACCTTTTCTTCATTAGCAACAATTATTTTAAAACTGTTTCCACTTTGTCATTATGGGGTATTGTGTGTAGAATGTTGAGAAAACAAATGAATTGTATCCAAATTGAAATATGGCTGTAACATAACAAAAATGTGTAAAAAGTGAAGGGGTATGAATACTTTCCGGATGCTCTGTACATCCTCACCTGCTGCTGGCAGAGATCCTTCCTCTCTTCCTTCAGATTGTTTCCTTGGTTGTTGAGCTCCTGAATAAGCTTCATGGCCTAAAATGATAAAAGACAGACACTTACAAACCAAGCATTGGCCCGGACGTTTCATAACTTATTTTCTTTAACATTAAAATACAAAATATGTGTAATTAATTAAAGACTTGTTAAAAACTGTTCTCGATAGATTCTATAGCTTCATTTATACTAACAATAACAATATTTACAAATGTTGTGAAGCTTAATTTTTTAATGCATGTCTATGGAGTTGGAATATGGATGGATGGGTACGGATGCCAATAAATATGATTAATTAGTATAATATTTATAGAATTGAATACCAGTAGTAGGATTGTTTATGAGTCATGTGATTCAAAACTCTCCAATAACTCCAGAGCATTGAAAAGTCTAAAAATAAAGTTGAATTAAGTTCAGGGTTTCCCACACATAGACTATACTTGGGCGGGCCGCCCAGGTATATTTCGCGACCCATTTAAGTTTTTGTTTTTTTTATTCGTCCGTGACCACGACGCCATCTGCGATCGATTAACTTGTGGACAATGATCCCTCGCTCTACGCCTCCTGTACCCAGTCCCGGACTGGCCATCGGGAGGACCAGGGGGTTTCCCGATGACCTGGCCTGTTAAGTGGCCTGCCTCACTCAGGGTGACTGGCTGTCTACATGATGTGGCCTGCCGACATGGCCACTGTCATAAATCATAAATCAAAGCCCTTGATTGGTCTCTGTGTGTCATTCAAGCTCGGGAGAACCTCAGCTCAGGTGAGGTAAAGGACTCTGAGTGTTTAGATAGTTAACTTAGTCTAAGTTCTCAGTGGGTCTCAAATGGTTTGGTCACCATTTATGTAAACACATATTTCCATTTGAGCGGTAGTGATTAGTAAAATATGCATGAATAAATAAATAAAAAGTTAACTAGGTGAAAAAAGGTAAGATACACTTTTAAAACTTGTTGAGAGCTAAAACTAGTCTTTGCTGCTGCCTCAAAGAGGAGCAGGGGGAGATGGGGGAGAGGGGGGAGAGGAGGGAGACAGGTGAGGCTGGTTCAGGAGCACAGACACACTCACAACTATAAATGAACCAAAAACAAATAATTAAACAAGTTTCAGTGTTTTTTTCATATTGGAAATGGGATGTTATTGGTTATGGCCATGATTTTATGATTATTGAAATGTATACAGTTTTTTACATTACATTACATTACATTACATTGCATTTAGCTGACGCTTTTGTCCAAAGCGACTTACAATAAGTACATTCGACCAGGAAGACACAACCTTGAAGAAAACAGAATCATATAAGTATATCAGGTTTCATAGAGCCAAACATTTCAAGTGCTACTCAACTGGCTTTAGGTAATCCAGTCCTTTATTAGTATAAAAGTGCTTCGTTAATCGTTCTAACGCTCGAAGTGGAGTCGAAAGAGATGAGTTTTCAGTTTGCGCTGGAAGATGTGCAAGCTATCTGCCGTCCTGATGTCAATGGGGAGCTCATTCCACCATCTTGGAGCCAGGATAGCAAACCCACGTGTTTTCGCCGATGGGAACTTGGGTCCGCCTCGCAGCGAGGGCGCAACGAGTCGTTTGGCTGATGCAGAGCGTAGTGCACGCGTTGGGGTGTACGGTTTAACCATGTCCTGGATGTACGAAGGGCCAGATCCATTCGCAGCACGATAAGCAAGTACCAGTGTCTTGAAGTGGATTCTAGCAGTTACCGGAAGCCAGTGAAGGGAGCGGAGGAGCGGAGTTCTGTTTCATATAGGTGTTTCCATAGATCTAGTCTCTTTATTTTCCCCTCAAAGTGCACCAGATTGATGCATTTAACTCTGTTAATGTTGTTGCACGTCACCTCAAACCCCCCCGCGCTACCACCACCCCCCCAAGTATATTTCAGATCTGTGGGAAACACTGAAGTTGATTTAATAAAAAAAGATTGATTAAGTGTAACCAATTACTTCATTTATTAAAATTGAGGATTTTGATTGACGATTTAATGTTTCTTCTTTTTGTTAGGGTAATGATAATTTGACGGTAATATGTGGCTCAAATGACTTTGACACTTTGACATTCCCAAACATCCTAAACTAAAGAAATGTCTCAGGAATCTGACACAATGGAAAATCCCTCTGACCTTTGACCGAATGAAAACAGACAGGACTTCAACAAAAGCTGACAAAGAAGCACAACCCGGATGAGACAAATCAAGCTGTTACATGATGATCCCTTCTTTGAATACGTTTTTTCATTTCCTGTGAGGCTGTCTGGGTTTGTTGGCAGGGTAAAAGTTTGTGTGTGTGCGTGTTTGCGTATGTGAGAACTGGAACAAAGGACATTCCTGAGCTGCATGTGAGTCTGTGTGTTTGACTTGTGTCGAACGTGCGGGGCATGAAGTGATGCATGGCGACCCCACAGAGCTTCAGCCTCCATCAGCAGCTCTAATGACTAACAGCTTGTTAATAAGTGCCGCCACACTACATGACACAGATATGACCTGTTACCTGACCCGGAACTAGGGCTTTATTTTATTTAGAATTCCTTCTGACAAATTATACTTTTATGTCATGTATAATAATTAAATCAACAATATGTTTCCCTCACATGGTCATATTATTTAAAACATTTCTCAAAAAATAGTTGGACTATGTTTCAGCTTTGGAAGAAGGAATAAGTAGCATCACCGGAGCGATAATTATTATTTTTTATTTGAAAACGTACCCATCAGAATCAGTTTTATTACCAAGTAGGGTTACACATAGGAGGAATTTGCTTTGGTATAAATGTTGCTTACAAAGACACAGAAAGAAGAGTACATAGCAAAACATTGTCCTATTATAAAAGCAATTAGAACAAATATGTTAAGACTATTGTAACACATTCGAGACAATACGTACACAAAATATAAAATGTATGTATATATGCGAGAAACTCAGAATACAGTTTTCTGAGCTTTTGTAAGTCAAATCAAAAACCAAACAATCCTTTTAGACGCTACACCAGTAAGTACTGGCCATTGTTTAAAAAAAATTCAAATGTTTATTTTTTACCTGAAAAACTCTCATTCTTGCTGCATACCTTAAAGGGATAGTGGAAATCCGCGAATTTTGGGTTTAACTTATGTATTTTTATTAAAAATAAGCATAATAAACAATTTTTTTTAATTTCATCCGCCTAGTTTCATTTTACTTTCAATTTTACTGCGCCCTCTCAATGAAACGAAATACTTCGGGAATCGTCGGGAATCTTCGGGTGATGACGAGAGCATAGGAAGACGGGCACAAACAATGGCGGACATTCAATAGCATTTGCATGTGAATAGCCGACCTTTATTATGGTGAATAGATGTGTTTTGTATGGCTGTAGTGCGACAGCAAATGCAGAGAATGGCGTATCGACGCATGCGTTTCCAAGAAACCCAGCCATTCGTCGTCAGTGGGTGAAATTTGTTCAGATAACACGGGCAAACTTCACGGAGCCGAAGCTGACGAGTAATTCGGCAGTCGTGTGCTCCCGTCATTTTACTGACGATTGTTTCGAGATTCCTCTGTCTCTAGCTCAAATTGAAAGTGGAATACATAAGAAGTGAGTATTTTATTATGTTTTCTTGTTGATTTAATGCATCATTAGCCTGTACCATTTTGTACAACGCCATTTATCCGGTACACAGTGTCGAATGTGTACACTACAGTCATCATATAGACTATGATAGACTAACAGTACTGTGAGTACAGCCTACACTTGACAGGCATCCTGGCTAGCCTAGGATTAGGACCCTACTACGTCAAAAGACCGATTGGCTCTAGCTGTATATCATGCTAGTATACAATTCATTTCAATTTATTCATGTAATTAATGCCCATAAGGCTGTTACATATACAATAATAAATGTGACAAGATAATTGAACACAACTGAACACCGTTGAACACAACTTTTGATCACAAATCAAAAAAAGTAAGACATAATTATTGTAATATTTTTGGAACCGGATGTTGTTTACTTTCTCTTTTCTGGCTGATAGCTCCACGAATTCGAGGTCGGACAGTGATGACATTACATGTGTGGAATCTGTGGAGTCTCAGCTTTAAATCGTATATCTTGTTTGTGCAGTTAAGATAGTAATAAGGGCATTTCTACCGTGTGTTGTGTGTAAAAAAGCGTTAGCATTAGTTAGCATTGTTTCGCTCAATGCTAATTCAAAGGCATGGTATTACTCTTGTGTTTTTTCTAGCTAACAATTGTTCTTATTGTCAGTTAGTCGAGTTTCTTACCTTTAAAAGGGTATGAAACATTAATAGTTTCATAAATGTTAAGAAGCCCTGAGACATGTGAGAGAAAAAAAACTGTGGGAGGGGTCCACTGGGGGGACCTTCGGGCTTAACTGGTTAACAATGATTAATATTTGTAAAGGCTACAGGTGATCTTAAGATGCGTGAGCTATGCTTAGGGACCTACCAGTCAAGATTATTTGTGCGTAGGGGTGCATCATCTGGCGCCTGGTCCTGGTCATCCTCGCCATTGCCCATGCCGTGAACCATCACCTCGGGCTCGGGCTCGAACAAATAAGGACGTAATGGTCCATCGTCTGGCTCAATATTGTCACCATCGTCGCTTACTGAACCGGATTCAGATTCAGTTCCTAAAACGACATTTTCGTAGGAAAGCCGAGAGGATGTTTCTGACTCGCTATCATCACTGGATACCTCGTACAATCCTTCTTCTTTGTCTGGTATATTTGCCCTTCCACGTTCATTCTGCATAGACGCCATGGTTTGTTATCGTATCGTCTTCCTAAGTTTTCGTCACTTCCGGTTTGGCTGAGTCGAACATTTCGTTTCTAAAAAACTTCGGGGAAGCTGCAATAAAGTGCTTCTAACATGCGTAAGGCAATTATTATATTTTTTTAATCAGGTATGATTGTTTTGGTACGTAATTATGCTTGTATATAAGTTAAAACGAAACTATTTGAGGTTCCATTTCCACTATCCCTTTAAGGGTTAGTGTGCGACACCGAATACAATTTAAATTAAGAGCAAAAAACTATAGAATTCAAACAAGGTCAAAGACAAAAAATGTATAAATCTATGTTGTGACGAAGGTAAGTGTCGCAGGAATGAGCGACTGTTCTCTTTCGGGAGAGGAAGGAGGAAATGTGACGAAGGTAACCACACTGTGGACTAACGGCTTCGTGCCTTGTATATTGCACATGTCTTTTATTTTGAAAAGTGTTCCCCCTCCCGTTCTTTCTGTTACTCCTGATTATGTTCACCTGGTGCCCTGTGTTGTCTCCTCCCCCCCCCACCTGTGTCTAATTGCTCCCCCCTCACCTGTGTCTAATTGCTGATTTAGGCTCTGTGTTTCCTGTTTGGTGAAGGCTGGTAGTGTGGGTGAGATCCTGGTGGCTGGTGACTGTGTTCACCTGGGCAGAAATATTGAGGCTGTGTATCCTGTACCACAGCGATGAATAAATGCCCACACCGGGTTATATTTGAATTCTCTGCCTCCTTGCTTGGTCGGGCCGCTCAACGGTCAGCTTCACATATGTAAAGGAAGAATTGCAATGCTTAGGTGTATAAAATGATTAGATTGTTTTTAAAAATGCATTAATAACTGTTTGTTTCAAAGTCTTTTGATTGATGCAGTGGTAGGGCTGCAGCCAATAATTATCTTTGCTATTGATAAATCTGCCAATTATTATGCAAATCCCATTAACAAGATTTTAAGATAAATAGCTTAATAATTAAAAGACAAGGCCAGAAAAAAGACCTCCCGGGCAGCAGTCATAAATCAGAGAAGTTACTCTGTAACCTGCTGCCTCATTCTCAGTAATCAACCATTGACTGTTGTTGAACTTTGACCAACAAATCTCACTCAGCTCAAAAAAACTCACATATCCTTTTTCCACTGAAAATCAGTTCGGTTCTAGCTCCGTGCTAGTGCTTTTTTGGTTGGGAGCTAATTCGCAGCTGGGAACCAGTTATTTTCCGACCGCCCAGTTACCCAGTGGTGCCACGTCATGACATAACCGTTTGTGTCGCACATTTTCATCATGGCAACGCCACTAACAACAACAACAATGTTTGTTCAGTTTGATTTGACACTGAAATCATAACGCCGTTATCTGGTGTTAGATTGGTGATGTTAGCATAGAAACCAAAGCTAATCTGACTATCTTGACTGGTTAGTGTTGCCTGACTTTACATATTTGTGTTTTTTATAAGTGTGGTCGCTTTCTAGTGAATCATTTGATTCTCTCGCTGTACTCCCCAGGAACTGTTATTGCTCACGTTAATCTCGCCCCCCCGCCTCCGATGTAAACCTGGCATATTTTTCTTGTTTCTTGAAAAGCAGTTTTTTGGTTCAAAACACGAACTGGTTCACAACCGGGCACTAGCTCCGAACTGGCCCTGGAACCGGTTTGGTGGGAACAGGTAGAATCCCATTATGCACCATGGGGGGCCCACAGCAACAGACTATTATGAAATCCTCCCTCTGACAGGTTAATGGGGGAACCTTGACATGGCGTGTATTATTATGATGCTGTTGTGAGTGTTGTGTGAGGGCAAGCCGGGTCAGCTCTTCAAAGCGCCGTCAGCGGATACTGCAGCTGACCCCGACCATGCTCAGAGGACATGAATGATTCAGACGGGCTTCTGAAAGACGCAGCATCACCTGCACCTGCCCCATGTCCTGCTTTTCATCCCCTTACAACCAAAGGCATCTCTGTGGGGGACTAATCCACCCATTACCAAGAGGGAGGGGGGAGGAGCGATGGAGAGATCAGGAGCAAGGGTGGAGAGTCTATAAAATGTTAGGAAAGATGCTTAAAAGATTATCAATCTGCTGTTTTATATGTTTTGTTCCCCTATGTTCTAGTAGTGTATCAATATTTTTTTTGTATTTAGGGCTGAACTATTAATCAACATTTTCTCATTATTGCATGAGTATGTCCTGCACTTTTCTAAATGCAGAAGGTGGAACATTTTTATGGCATAATTAACATTTTCAATGAAAAATGGTGGTGCTTAAGAAATGTCCTGACATACACTTCATATTCTGCAGAACTTAGAAAAACCTCCCTGAAAGAGATCCCTGCAAGTTGCAGCATAATAAATTGAATATGTTTTTCAATAAAAGCCTTAGAACAATCTGTAAAACATCATTTTTTCCAGATATCGCAAATGATATGATGATTGGACCGTCAGTCAAAATAATCACAATAAGATCATTGGGAATGAATGCAGGTGTATAACCAAAATCCCCCAAACACACATGCTCATAAACATCACACAATGTCTTTTTTGGGGGGTATAATCATTATTATATCCAATCATAAATATGAGGTCATATAAATGTTTTGTATATTACTCTTTGTTCTCTATTACATTGGGGAATTTTAATTTTGACTTAGGTGGAGACTTCAAAAAAGCCGACTGAGTTGTTTGCCTCTTTCTGCATTGTATATTATTTGTTACCTGTTTACGTTATTGCATTAGACATTTTGCAAATGTACTCCGGGACAAAAAATACCTACACCTGTAGTCAAAATGTGTTGTTTCTCTGAGATCAAAGTTGTCAATTTTTGTACTTTACTGAAGGTCCTCGCCTGTATCTAACCGTGGTTTAAAAGTGGCGTGAGAGAAACCTGAACAGAGACACGCAGAGGTCATTTGAGATGTCAGGGTGGCGCCCATCTCCCATTGTCCTCTCTGTCATTAGGGGCTTATTACTGCGCTGAAATGTTCACTGCAACTCGCCAGATACTGAAGAGAGACATGCTTGCTCAAAGGTCTCAGAGTAGAGAGTGCACTCCAGGTGAAATACTTTGAGTTTCTTTTCAATTCAAATCCCCATCATTTATGTAATAATACAATAAATAGATTTTTTTTTTTAAATAAAAATAAAGGAGACCTCTTTGTGCTACCACAGTTTTAAGATACTGGAAATATTCTGATGTTATCATTATTATTTGTACTTTATTTGACACTTAATTGAATCTTGTTTGTATTATCAATAACGTTATTATGTTCATAAGGTCTTATTTTAAAGCCCTTTGTGCTGCATGTGTTGTGTGAAAGGTGCTATACAAATGTATTATTGTATTATTTAGGTCATTTACCAGTTGCAACATGAAGTGATGAAAACATTAATGCATTAACAAACAATAATAATCTAATTATTTTATCTGGAAAGGGACTTTTCTGCAAACTCGAACTTTAACGTCCTGGGTTACTATAAGTTATATTTTCTTCATTACTGACCATGTATTTTGGTATTGTACATACACTTCCTTTTGTGTAAAGTATGTCAATAACACTTAATATTATTATTATTGATATTATTACTACTATTGTTGTATTATGGATAGTTTTCTTAATTTTCATATGTAAGGTTGAAAAAAGGCATAGACGTGGTTTGTTTTTAATTTTAGACAATATAAAATATAGATAAAAAATAGTTTTGGTGTGTTGGTACATATTCTAAGCTGGTTAAATAAATGGAATATAACTGCATTTTGTTGTTTTTAACAATAATAAGACAAACTTTCTCTCACCTCGGACAGGCCGTCCTCGCAGGTCTGAATGCGGCACAGGAGTCTCCCCTGACCGTCCGCAGCAGGACCGGAGGAGAGGACCAGAGACATGGAGGAGTCTACCCGCTGCTGCAGCTCGGTGCCGGGCTGAACCTCCAGCTCCAGCCCCGTGGAGATGTCACTCTGAACCTGCTGCTTCTCCTGCTTCTGCTTCTCCTCCTTCTCCTTCTGCTTCTCCTCCTTCTGCTTCTCCTCCTTCTCCTCCTTCGTGTGCTTGTCCACCTGCTGTGGAGCGGGGACAGCCACCAGAGACTCAGGTGGGCCGTACCTGGGAGAAGTGTCCGTCCACTCGGTCTTCAACTCCCGGATATCCAGCTGCCGGAGGATGGCATTGAGCAGGGCGTACAGGGCGCTGAAGTTGACAGCTCCCTTGGAAGGTGTCCCAATAGCTAAATTCAACAAGTCAACAAGGCTGATGTTCTCCATCTTTGTTTGTGTGCGGGGAAACAAACCGTTAATTAAAGTTCAGCTAACATTAGCTAGCTTTAAAAAAAAAAAAACGTACAACTTCGACAAACAACCGTTAATTTCGTTTGTGACGCCCCCTGTGTGGATTTAAGGCGAACATATATTGGATAAAGTATAAAATATATATATAATTTAAATGCTTCTTAAATGTTCTTTCTATAATGTTAATAACCGTGTACGGCATCCCCCCGGCGGCGGTAATCTCGGTGTCCGTTAGTAGAGTCAGAGTGGTCAGAGTGTGATAATGTTCAAGAGAAAACAGCAACCCGGCTACGTCAAAAAGGACGCATTTACCGGAAATACAGGAAATAGCCCTTCAAAATAAAACGAAGAGAATATGCGATACATGCACCTTTATAATTCATCGTAAACACAGTTTTCCCACATAATAATTACACCTATTACTCAATACCTGGTCATTTAAGATGGTTTGGATAATATAAAAGGTATTTTGGTACCAGTAGAATTATATTATTTGTGTACATGTATTACATGTCTTATATATGTAATATGTAATGTAAAGCACTTTGAGTACTTGTAGAAGTACTAAAATAAAATGCAATTAATTATTATTATTACATGTATTACCAATGTACTTCCTGTAATTATAAGGTGAATGCACTTGAACCTTTGCCAGTGTTTTGGGTTGATTTTCATTTAGATCTTAAAACACATTTTGCCAATTGTCTAATTATAATGCTTTTAGTAGATCTTGTGTATTTTATACTTGTACTGAAGGATCAACATAAATGTATCACCTGTCGTCAACTTCTCTAAATAGGAAGGCTTTTATTTTTAAGTTGTGACCGGATACAGTATTTAGCATCCATTCTAGCTTGACGACACCGGCACTGTTGACAGATTCCCACGTTGGGATATCCTCGCAGCGTTACAGGTTGCTATGCAACAAGCTGCAATCATGCAGCGTTCAAGGAAGGGTAGAATGTAGTCTTTTCCGAGAAAAAAAAACACTGTCTTTATATTTTTTACATAATAAAGCAAAAACAGTACTGTAACTTTTGCTTATCTTACAGTTTACATCTATTAAATTAAATAAATTGCTGTAACAATGCCAAAGTATTGCATATATTGAATTATTGCAGAAAATGTATGCACTGTTAAGACAGGTCAGGAAGTTTATTTGTTTTGCAATTAGTCTACACCTGCATACCAACAATATGTATTATGTTAAAGATCACATATCATGCTATTTTTAGGCAATAGCATAGGTCTCAGATATATAAAAATATATAAAAAGCCATGGATGTATAATAAGAACTGGATACAGCGTGGGAGGCGGGGTATCGTTCTTTCCTATGAGAGCTGCTCATTGGTGCATGAAGGCAAAATGGCCCAACTTTTGAGAGAGCGAAACATCACAGATTACCAGTCATGCCTGGCTGTCAGAGCAGAAGAACCCGTATGTGAAATGAGAAAGGGCCATGCTCTCTCCAGTACAGGTTAGCTCTGAGTGTTAGCGATGCTAATGTAAACACCGACCATATTATGTCCAAAACAGTGGGGCATTGTTTCTGATAGCAACGTTTCTGATAGTGCTGTGGGTCTGCATTGCCGATATGACATCAAATCACTGCAAATCTGGATCAGCTCCGTTGTTCCCCCGTTTTTAGAGATTTGGGTACGGAGGAAAAGAGAGAGGGTTTTATTTTCTGATGCTGCATGAGTTCCCTGACACACCGGGGACACATATTTATGTATAAAAGACATCAACAAGTGCATTTTAAGATGCATGTTAATGTTTTACTTCCGCACCATTTCATGTAATATCTTGAAAATGTATTATTATAAATCTTAATCATTTGTCAGGGTGATTATCAGCAAAAAAGATGTGTAATCCAAATATAAATGATGCAATCCAATTACATTTCAAAATAATATTTTATTGATAATAAAAACAAGCAAGCGAAAGTTCTTAATTACTACATTCAAGTATAAAATCACCATCATAGAACACATGCATTTCCCTTGACCTCATTGAGATTGATTGCATTTGCAACATGAAACTTAACTGAATGCGTTTCATTTGGCAATAAATGAACTGGATAAAAGTGCTGTATTTCATACTTTGACACTTTAAACAAAAGAAAAATAACATACAGCATCTAAGATATAGTTCCTTTTTGCCCTTTCCCGTTTCAACATTACATAAAGCTGTCTGGAAAAGAATGTCTTGAGGCCCGCCACATTTATTTAGCACAGTGCTGTTTTGGCATCAGATCAGTTTACAACAGCTGTGATTAAAAGCAATAAACAACACAGAGTCTGCAGCCACGCCAGCCGCTATATGAGGCATTAAAGGCCATCGTAAAGAAATCAGATTAAAGTTAAGATCAACGGTTTAGTGGCTTTGAGGTCAGAATATTAACTGATCTTACAAATCAAGATGTATTGAGTCTCAGTGGTTAGTCATGCTAATTGTCTTTGACAACTTTTACACGAAATGTTTTGTAAAAGTAATAAAAGAAAATAGCAGCTGGGAAGAGGGTAATATTCTGGGGAACTAAATCACATTTTTAGAACTTTCTGAGAGGAAAGTCACAAATTACTGTACATTTCAGACTTTAATCTCAAATGAATTTCTTGCAAATTAATGACTTTTTTTTGTAAATGTACCACTTTAATCTCAGAGAATATCTAAGAATGTCTCTAATAAATATACAACTTTAATTTCATACATTCTGAGTTTTCTTTATGAATATTAACCCCCTCCGACACCAATGTAATTCATTTTTCTTTACCTACAATACTATAGTATAATACCCAAAACTGAGCTGCTGGCGTAGCTAAAAACTCTGAACTTTTTTTTTTTTGATTCTATTCTTCTGTTTTACCATCTTGTTGTCTCTTTTTCCCCTTTAACATTCTCCATATTAGGAGACACAAAACAAACAGCCACTGTTCATTTCATTTGAACTAAATACAATCACTTATTCATAATGATAAAAGGGTTCCGGACTGCAGAGTCATGAAGGAACAAGGCAAGAAGAAAAGACAGCATCACAGAATAATTAACAACGGCATATTGTTTCATTGTAAATCAAAGTAAATACAAAAAAAGCCAGAGTGGGTGGTCATAATCTGAGAATATTCAGAATTTCAAAGAATACAATTATATTCTATTGTACATTAGGGAGAAAAAAATTCAGATGATGTCATTTTTGGTAAATTCACGATTTTAATCTCAGAGAATATCAAAACTATTTTCTTTTGAATGAAACACTATGATATCAAATTATTTTCTGTAATTATTCTTTTTTTTCATTATTATTTTCAAATTGAATCTTTTTTATTTCTCTAACCATTACCCCCTCCCCAGGCTTCATAATTACTTTTTATTTTATTTGTAGCTACAATGGCTCAATACGCTGTTGTAAGAGCGAGGTGGAAAGTGTCCCACATACAAACAAATGATAAATTCAGTTTCTTGATAATATTTCCCTTTTACCTGCTTAGCTCCCATGTAGCCGTCAGTAACGTCAGATGACCGCGGATCGTAAAAGCTCATTGTAAGGTTGTGATAACCTTGTGACTGCAGCTGAGCATGTAGGACAAACTGGGAGTTCAGCAGAGTTCACAACACAAAGCTTCATGTTCAGTCTTTGACAGAGTCCCTTACACAGAGGGAGAACATCATAACAGACGTATGGAGCGCAGGAGCTGTCAGTATTTTCTGGGATCAAGGTTGGGTTTGTGCACTTGATGTGCAAGAGAGAGGAAAGACTTCTAAAGGCTAAAGTGGCATTAATGTATTTCTTATATTGTCAATAAATCCCATGAAAAGACCAAAATCAAAACAATTGTATTTCACTTCCTGTCTGTGGATCTCAGCTCAAAGCCCATTGGTTCCCACTGAAGACTTACATTTTAAAAACAAAAAAAAGTGTTTATCCCTTCACTGTTTGCTTTATTAGAAGTGCAATAATTGGTCAACCGCAAAAAAAAAAAGTATGATTTCATTAAAAAAAACTCACTGAATTATAGAGATTTGCTGCTTTTGTCAGTTTTTTATAACGTGTTAAAGTTAATTTCTTTGACAAAAAAAATATTTAAAGACAAACTTAAATTTGAGAAAATTGAAAAGATATTTTCCACAATTTCTTTAGACATTTTATCAACCAAATTATGGAGAAATTACTCTGCAGATTTATCGATAATGAAAATAGTCATAAAATGCAGCCTACGTTTGGTATCAAACAACATCGAACGGACTATTTTTAGTGGCGGATGAATCAACATTTAGGGCTCTAGTGAGTATTTGTGGTAGCCGTATGGTGTATCTAAAATCAAGTTCATGGTGAAGAAGGAACATGGCAATGTGGCTCATTGATGTGTTTTTAAATAGTTATAAACAACAATGGAGCAAAATACAAATACTAGTAAGAGGATGCATTAATATTTGGTTTTGGTATTTTCATGGGATTTGCTAACAATAAAAAAAATACAAAATATCTCTAACCTTCTCCATTAAACCAGCTGAAGAAGCAACAAACAACCAATGAAAACAGTAAAGTCAGTGTTCATTCCTCAGCATGTCTTCCCACAGGCACTATTGGGATACATCATTGTTGGCAGCCCCTCCAATCAAAAGTGCTTTTTATTTCATTAACACATCTCTATTCATCATGCCTCAGTAAAGTCAGTTAAAAGGAATATTTAACCCAAATAATCGATCATTTGTATATCTATTATTTCCCTCGTGTCACCTGACTTATTGACGCAAAATGTGTTTTACTCCAGTGGCTGCATTTACCAGCAGTGGTTTGATGTTTTGATCAAGTTTAAACAGAACTATAACAAAACATCAGACCCTTGCACAACATATGCAGTATAATACAAAGTGTTTTAAATAGTGCAGTTTTAGTTCAAAGTCTTGTGTTTGTGAAGTAGTGAGAATCGAACAGGATAAGTGGGACTTATAATACAAAGGTTGTGCGAGAATTTGTTAAGGGAGGTTATGATAAAGTATACCAACATTTACTTAAATTCATCAAGATATTTTGAATCTTTGATTACCATAAAGACATGAGCGAAAAAATAAAAACAAGGGGAATAATTCATATGTAAGTCGAACATTTTGTGGGTAAGTTTTTCCTTTGAAATCCAACTAAATGCATTTTTCAGCCTCAAATATTGAGGTATGCTGCTTTTCTCCGTTTTAGATGATATTAAAGTAAATCACTTTGGCAAAAC